ACTGAGAATGTCGTCAGCACCTGGTAACAGGGCAACTCATGGTAACACAGGGCAACACATGGTAACACAGGGCAACACATGGTAACAGAGTAACACAGAGTAACACTAAAACACATATGGTAACACAATGGCAACGTAACATATGGTAATATAGAGTAACACAAGGGTAGGGTGACAGAGGGAAAGAAGTGTAACACTAGAGAAACTGGACAACACTCTGTGTGTGTGTGTGTGTGTGTGTGTGTGTGTGTGGTGCTGTGTGTGTGTGTGTGTGTGTGTGTGTGTGTGGTGCTGTGTGTGCATCACTTTGTTACGTCTACCAGGTCAGGGCATCACTATGTTACATCTACCAGGTCAGGGCATCACTATGTTACGTCTACCAGGTCAGGGCATCACTATGTTACGTCTACCAGGTCAGGGCATCCTTATGTTACGTCTACAAGATCAGGGCATCACTATGTTACGTCTACCAGGTCAGGGCATCACTATGTTACGTCTACCAGGTCAGGGCATCACTATGTTACATCTACCAGGTCAGGGCATCACTATGTTACATCTACCAGGTCAGGGCATCACTATGTTACATCTACCAGGTCAGGGCATCACTATGTTACGTCTACCAGGTCAGGGCATCACTATGTTACGTCTACCAGATCAGGGCATCACTATGTTACGTCTACCAGGTCAGGGCATCACTATGTTACGTCTACCAGGTCAGGGCATCACTATGTTACGTCTACCAGGTCAGGGCATCACTATGTTACGTCTACCTGGTCAGGGCATCACTATGTTACGTCTACCAGGTCAGGGCATCACTATGTTACGTCTACCAGGGCAGGGCATCACTATGTTACGTCTACCAGGGCAGGGCATCACTATGTTACGTCTACCAGGGCAGGGCATCACTATGTTACGTCTACCAGGACAGGGCATCACTATTTTACGTCTACCAGGTCAGGGCATCACTCTGTTACGTCTACAAAGTGATAGCATCACTGCAATATAACCTCAAAAGAATGATGGCATCACTACTACATATCCTCTAAAAAGTGATGGCATCACTCCTACTTGACCTCCATTCTACATATCCAGGCCTACATAAAGAACTTATGAAGGAAGGCACAGTCGGATAGAAAATGATTTCATGTAAAAACGTATCAGAAGATGTTCCATTGACATGACATGATACACAAATGGGTGGCACCAGTCTGGCACCATGAAAATAAATTACTACACGGAGACATTATGTTACCACATCTTTCCAAGTTAAAATATCATGTTGCAACATCTACATACGGAGATATTTGAGATATCTTGTTACCATATTTTCCAAGGTTAAGGGAAATAAACTTACCAAGCCTACCTAGGTAGAGATATTATGTCACCAAGTCTGCCTAGGTAGAGATATTATGTTACCAAGTCTACCTAGGTAGAGATATTATGTCACCAAGCCGACCTAGGCAGAGATATTATGTTACCAAGCCTACCTAGGTAGAGATATTATGTTACCAAGCCTACCTAGAGAGATATTATGTCACCAAGCCTGCCTAAGCAGAGATATTGTTACCAAGCCTACCTAGGTTGAGATATTATGTCACCATGCCTACCTAGGTAGAGATATTATATTACCAAGCCTACCTAGGTAGAGATATTATGTTACCAAGTCTACCTTAGCAGAGGTATTATGTCACCAAGCCTACCTAGGTCGAGATATTATGTTACCCAGCCTACCTAGGTAGAGATATTATGTCACCAAGTCTACCTAGGTAGAAGTATTATGTTACCAAATCTACCTAGGTAGAGATATTATGTCACCAAGCCTACCTAGGTAGAGATATTATGTCACCAAGTCTACCTAGGTAGAGATATTATGTTACCAAGCCTACCTAGAGAGATATTATGTCACCAAGCCTGCCTAAGCAGAGATATTGTTACCAAGCCTACCTAGGTTGAGATATTATGTCACCATGCCTACCTAGGTAGAGATATTATATTACCAAGCCTACCTAGGTAGAGATATTATGTTACCAAGTCTACCTTAGCAGAGGTATTATGTCACCAAGCCTACCTAGGTCGAGATATTATGTTACCCAGCCTACCTAGGAAGAGATATTATGTCACCAAGTCTACCTAGGTAGAAGTATTATGTTACCAAATCTACCTAGGTAGAGATATTATGTCACCAAGCCTACCTAGGTAGAGATATTATGTCACCAAGTCTACCTAGGTAGAGATATTATGTTACCAAGTCTACCTAGGTAGAGATATTATGTCACCAAGCCGACCTAGGCAGAGATATTATGTTACCAAGCCTACCTAGGTAGAGATATTATGTTACCAAGCCTACCTAGGTAGAGATATTATGTCACCAAGCATGCCTAAGTAGAGATATTGTTACCAAGCCTACCTAGGTAGAGATATTATGTCACCAAGCCTACCTAGGTAGAGATATTGTTTCCAAGCCTACCTAAGCAGAGGTATTATGTCACCAAGCCTACCTAGGTAGAGATAATATGTTACCAAGTCTACCTAAGTAGAGGTATTATGTCACCAAGCCTACCTAGGTAGAGGTGTTGTGTTACCACATATTATGGTTACCTATGTACAAATCAGAAGTTACCACATCTTCCTGCACATATAATTTAGCCACTCTAGGACCAATCAAGAGGAAGAGGTCTTGATGCTTCATTTTACAATAATGCATTGAATAAAATGTTAAAATACTTCTGAAATAAAGAAAAGAAGAACCTTTAAAAAAATTCCAATATTGATCAAAATAAGAAAATAGTCTTGAATCCTTGATAAATTCAAGAAGACGAGCTCTCATAACAGTACAGCTCAGGGATGTCTATTGTCTGTGTCTGAATCCTACACACACAGGGTACTTCCTTGGTGTATCGGCAAATACACAAACAGTTCTGTTGCACTGTAGCCCAAGCTGTTCGGACACAAACCTGTTGGTGTAGTTGCAGAAATATGCATGGGGACAATGAACTCACCCCACTCCAGGAGGGTTAACATATATGTTCTTTTTTAATTCACTATGATAAGTATGAATCACAGCTGATAAAAAAACCCAAAACGGACAGATTTTCTCACCAAAACATTTCCCGTAAAACAATAAAAAATTATCTTTTTCCTCCACAGTGCCGTGCTGGAGTGAGTGAGTGATTTGGGTTTAACGCTGCTTTTAACAGTATTCCAGTTATATCGCAGCATGTCAGCTTAATGTGGGAGGAAAGCCCGAAGCACTTCAGTGAAACCCACAAACACGGGTATGGTGCTGACAAACCTAGAAACATAATTGGGGCGAACCGGGATTCGAACCCACAATCATAGGTTTCTGGTGTGCCCAAGGGACGAATTCTGCACAGCGAATCTCGGCGCCTTAGACGACTGGGCCACCCGTGCCCCCCCGTGCCCCCCCGTGCTGGAAGAACAATGGTTGGTCATTGTTAGTGGTTGATAATCTGAAAGGTTTGTATGCCAGGCAAGAAAATAATTCACGTCAGGAATTGTAGCATCAATTTACATAAATATCTTCACATAGCATCATAACAAAAGTATGCGTGGCAACAATACTGTTAGCATCATCAACTATCCAGTGTTTCTTGTAAGCAAGGATTATATCCTACCTAAATATTATCCTGGGGGAAGTTTTACTCTAGAGTTTAGTATCTATAGGATTAAACACACTGGTATGGGTTCAAATTCACTAGGGAGTATCATCCTGACACAAGAGAATTTCATCCCCAGGATAAAAAGAGGGTAGGATAATATTCACTCTTACATATCATACCTACATTCTATTATGATATGCATCTTGGACCCATCCAACAACTAGCTCCATTTTGAGGTCAGTTTGAAAAAACCGATGCTAAATCTAGAATCCAATCATATTTCACCATTCTTCCATAATCTTAAGCAGCAATATCAACAGTACTCAGCCTGACTTTAGCATGCCATCACAAACACAACATCGTGTAGCATTAGGACTTTCCTCCTGTCTTAGTACTGAGGGAAACATCCTTTCAAGTTATATTTTTTTTGTATGACAGTTCTGTGATTCATTTAAATATATTGAGGTGAAGTGAAATGCGGTTTAACATTGCATCCAAGATTATTGCACTTATATAGCGACGTGCATGGTCATATGTTTGTGTGGCTGCTCGTACTAGTCCGGACTGATGCCGATTTATAGTGCTAGCTCAATGAGATACCATGCCGCAGTTTAACATGAATACCCCACTCAGACACTGTATACTGACTCCAAGCCGACCGGTCCTTGTTTTAGCCCTTTAATACCGAGCGCAAGACAAGGTAACAACAAGTACCTTTTTTTAACGTCTTTTGGTATGACGCGGCCGGGGCTTCAGCTCTCCGGGAGGATGCTCTACTACCAGACCACTGAGGCGGTCCTTAAAATATATTGAGGGCATGATCGGATAATGTGGCCATTTTGAAAACAAATTTAAGCTGAACTCTTGTTTTGAAGCATCTTAGTTTTCCTTCGTTTCAACCAAATGAGAAACGGAAATTCTGTGCTAAGTTAGTGAGTGGCAATAGCCTGAGATGGATAGGGACTGGCAGGTTATGGAAAGAGGCTGTCGTGATGACTGTGATGAGACAGATGGCGTTGGTGACGTCACTTCTAAAACAAAGCTATAGTGTCGACTGGGTCCTGGGTATTGATCAAAATAGGACAGGGATACAATACACTGGATTGCTGAGGAGTGGGACATCAAAGTTGATATCAATAATTTTCCCCATCATTAACAGAATCCAGCTAAATGTACATCAAGATTTACGATACATGATAATCTCAGTTATTTGAAGAATCTATCTATGAACAGATGTTCTGTTTTCAACACTGTACATCTAAGGCAGCATCAGGCCCTCACACACACTATTCACCTATCAACATGCACTGAACACTATACTGATAGATAAAGGTCTGTAATACCAGCTGGTGACTGATAATAAAACAAAAACAAGATAGATAAGGTTGCAAAAACAAATATATTACACTTTGGACCGACCTGGTAATTTTGTATCGTCATTGCAACAGCCAAATTTGATTGGTCACAGCAGAGCACACGTCATTGAGATACACCTCAAATCTGAGGTATTAACAAAACATTCATTTCCTACTTCCAACTGTGACCCCATATGCATGTTAAACATGTTGAAATCTGTTGTTAGAGTGAAAGAAAGTTTATCATTCCTCCATGTAAGAATGATAAGATCTGATTGGTTCACATCATCTATATTAAATACTATGTATCCCGCCTTAAAGGGAAATAAATTTTCCGCTAGGGAGAATAAATCCCTTATACCCCGCCAAGAAGAACACAGGCTGCACGTGTATTTCTGGAAGGGGGAATAAATCCCTCATGCATGCTTTTTACAAGTCAATGAAAGTCATATGACATAGCACAAATTAACCTCAGCTCAATCAGCTGTTTTCTATCAATTTTGAATTTGTTTTAATTCTTTTACAATGTCAAATTAAAACATGTCAGTAAGATAAATTCTTTGTAGCAGTGTCACGAGGGGTACATGGGGTTTTATGCGTTGTCAGGTTTTATACCCTTGCCTCTGGCTCGTCACATGAAACCTAACAAGGGACACACAAAACCCCAGGTACCCCTCATGGTACTGCTACAACATATAGGGTGCTTGAAAGCTTTATTCCTAAAACAACTGATGGAGGAATGTCAACCTAGACCTCGCAAATAGCATGTACTTAATTGTCCATGATGTATCAAAACTGCTGGAATAAAATGTTGTAAACAAATGGTAAAATATTGTTCCATTGCACAATTCCCAGGTCCTGTCAGCATGCATACAAACCCCATACAGTGGGACCCTGCTTATCTGGACTCCTGTCTCCAACAAATCTCCTTATCAATGAATATGTTGAAGTCTGTCACTTATAACTGCTAAAACATGCTAACAATGACTCAACACTGAAGTCAGGGCAAAACTACCATTTTAGCAGAAAAGCAATTGCTTATACCTAAAAAAGCACATTTATAACACCTGAAATAACACAAATTTTTCAGAAGTAACCTAAGTTTACCATCTATGCAGTGAATTATTAATTCAAATTCTACACAGTCAAACATGATATTTATTGTCTAACTTATTCATTATAATGATAGGTCGGCTCACATTCAAATATGAAAAAATAAATAACCATCACATACTACGAAGTAATATTATCGACTGATTTTGATGTTCAAATTTCATTCGTCATCATAGCTGTTTCTTGAATGAAAGTTGATTTGGTGTTGGTGAGACACGTATATATATTACAAAAAAGGAAATTAGAATGAATAAATTACTGATATTTGTTACAAATAAAATCTAACATGAACGGTCCCAAAATGAAGGAAATAGCCCGTAAGAGCATCTAATTTAGTAAAGAATTCTCGGGGGAGCATGTCCCCAAACCCTCCTAGCGCGCCCTACACTTAAATTAGCCAGGTGCGCCCCTGGAAGTTTTGAATTTACGATTTTAAATGAAATTTTATAATGGTCAGATCACTTTTTGTCTTAATTATCTCATCAGTCTGATAATTTCCAAATGTATAAAAGAATTTAAATTTTATTATCGTGTTTGAATTTTGCTACAACCTTTTCGTAAGCTTTAGAAAAACAATTTCTACAAGCATCATCCAGAATACAGGAATTCTTGATAACAAAGTGTGGATATGTTGGCATGCGTAAGTATGGTTTTACACCGCTTTTAGCAATAATCCAGCAATATCTCGGCAGGGTCACCAGAAATGGGCTTCATATATTGTATCCATGTCAGGAATCAAACCCGGGGCTTCGGCGTGACAAGCGATCGCTTTAACCACTAGGCTACCCGACCGCCCCGTGGATAGGTAGGGTGTCACTGTGTATTGCTAGAGGCTGTATGAAGGCGGACAGGGCAGTGTAAGCAAATCACCTGGGGAACATTTCACAAAGCGATCTTAGCGCTATGACTGACATAGGTCTACGTTAAAGTATGGGAGTAATGACACCTTAGTACTAAGATCACTTTGTGGAACGGCACCCTGGAGCATGTGTGACGGCCTGGGCCAGACGTTCACACATCGCTCCCAAAGGTGATATACATGTTTGCTGGTGAGTGGTTCAGCTCCGAAGTGTGTCAACAAACACAGATTATGCACACAACCATTTCAGTGAGGATTTCATAATAAACAACCCGTCTATCTTCAAATATAGATACACCAAAATGCTTCATCTGACACTGACATTTGTGCTATTTTTTAAGCAAAAATAGCCTGGTTAAAGAGAACATTAAAACCCCATTGTCCCGGTTTTAACACACAATGATAGATATAGTACAGACAGCACAGTTTTGAGGAGAATAAAGTGTCTGTTACACCTACTCTTTGTGGTAGAAATATTCAGTTAGGAACTGACATACAAACTTTTGACACAGTCCCCGGCTGTAATGAATGTGTTCCACTTCACTCTCCACTCGGGAGGAACACATTGTGTTCTCACCCCAAGATGGAGTGACCCGTTTACAAGATTTACATCACAAATTAGGTTTAAATGGAAAAGAATATCACTAACAACTAATGTATACTAAATACATAATTAAGTTAACAATTGTACAAATGTAAAAGTATTAAAATGTCATGAAAAATGCTAAACTATTACGCTTTGAACACATCTCAAAACACAACATACTGAATGTTCAACAAGCCATCACAGCATAATTGGAGTTGGATTTCAAATACTGGATATATGAACACAACAGAGGCTCTATTTTCAATATACTTAACTGGCACTGTGACTGATACTATACACAGCATCAATCTACAGTCCAAGTCTTGTAGGATATGTTGTAGCACTTGTATATACACAGACCAAAGAACAGAGCCAAGCATCACTGCTTATACTGAGACTGAAGTATCACTGCTTATACTGGGACTGAAGTACCACTGCTTATACTGGGACTGAAGTATCACTGCTTATACTGAGACTGAAGTGTCACTGCTTATACTGGGACTGAAGTACCACTGCTTATACTGGGACTGAAGTATCACTGCTTATACTGAGACTGAAGTACCACGGCCTTACTGGGACTGAAGTACCACTGCTTATACTGGGACTGAAGTATCACTGCTTATACTGAGACTGAAGTACCACGGCCTTACTGGGACTGAAGTACCACTGCTTATACTGGGACTGAAGTACCACTGCTTATACTGGGACTGAAGTATCACTGCTTATACTGGGACTGAAGTATCACTGCTTATACTGGGACTGAAGTATCACTGCTTATACTGGGACTGAAGTATCACTGCTTATACTGGGACTGAAGTACCACGGCTTATACTGGGACTGAAGTATCACTGCTTATACTTGGACTGAAGTATCACTGCTTATACTGGGACTGAAGTATCACTGCTTATACTTGGACTGAAGTACCACTGCTTATACTGGGACTGAAGTACCACTGCTTATACTGGGACTGAAGTATCACTGCTTATACTCGGACTGAAGTACCACTGCTTATACTGGGACTGAAGTACCACTGCTTATACTGGGACTGAAGTACCACTGCTTATACTGGGACTGAAGTACCACTGCTTATACTTGGACTGAAGTACCACTGCTTATACTGGGACTGAAGTATCACTGCTTATACTGAGACTGAAGTACCACTGCTTATACTGGGACTGAAGTACCACTGCTTATACTGGAACTGAAGTACCACTGCTTATACTTGGACTGAAGTACCACTGCTTATACTGGGACTGAAGTACCACTGCTTATACTGAGACTGAAGTACCACTGCTTATACTGGGACTGAAGTACCACTGCTTATACTGGGACTGAAGTACCACTGCTTATACTGAGACTGAAGTACCACTGCTTATACTGGGACTGAAGTACCACTGCTTATACTTGGACTGAAGTACCACTGCTTATACTGGGACTGAAGTACCACTGCTTATACTGGGACTGAAGTACCACTGCTTATACTGGGACTGAAGTACCACTGCTTATACTGAGACTGAAGTACCACTGCTTATACTGGGACTGAAGTATCACTGCTTATACTGGGACTGAAGTACCACTGCTTATACTGGGACTGAAGCATCACTGCTTATACTTGGACTGAAGTATCATTGCTGAGAATAGTCAGGTAGAGTGAGAAGGCATAGTCAGGAAGAAGGAATAGGAAATTGTAGGGCGAGTGAGTGAGTGAGTTGGGTTTAACGCTGCATTGAACAGTATACCTGTTATAGCACAGCCTGTCAGCTTAATGTGGGAGGAAAGCCCGAAGTGATGCAGGTCTCGAACATCTACCACATCAGTGAAACCAATGAGCACGGGTATGGTGCTGACAAACCTAGAAATATAATCAGGGTAGCCAGGATTCGAACCCACAATCAAAGGTTTCTGGTGTGCCCAAGAGATGCAACAGTGAACTTAGATGTCTTATACGACTGGGCCATCGATGCCCATGGGTGGGGAGAGTCACTTCAGTCATTTAAATTCTGATTTTCTTCACATCCTTTTGAAACACATATTTAAGATATGAACTTCTGTCATTCTGAAGTTGCAGACCACTTCAAAATAGCCCTCTGTGCCATGACTGTTATTCATGACAATCAAATAATGCTGACTAACCAAGAAGAGGATGAGCAGCAGGACACAAGGGGGGAGGTCTCCAGCACCAAGATCCCCCATGTCCTAGAACGATGCTACTTAATACTAAACAAAACTAAACCTCTAAACTAATTAACACATGACCAGCAGTTCCACAGATAATGCATACCTTGATTATGACATTATTGAGTGACAATGTGTTATCTAGTACATAGGCGCCATATTTTGAAAGACATCAATCAGTTTGATTCTTAATCTGACTGGAGCGTCAATTTATAGCCAAGGGCACACAGCTGCAAATCCTGATACTATATAAAAAGACATCATCATACTAAATAAACCAATACCCAGATACAAAATGATTCTTTTTTAAACTCTGAGGAAGACAGCTTAATAAATTATAACATAAATATATTAGCTAAATAAATTATTTCTAACTATTTCTCAAGTTAAAAAAAGTTGTGAAAGTATAGTGGTCTTTAATAAGCGCAAAAACCTTGGTAAGATCTGTTTGAAAATATATTTGCCATTAGGAATATAAACTACATGTATATCAACTGTAGACATGTTTTCATTTCCTGGACAAATGCATTGGAAAATGTTTAAAATAACAAGAACACACTAACATAGTTGCCATAGTAACGATAAACATGAATTTGTACAGTACAACATCATAAAGTACAACCACAATAGAACAATCATACAACTAATACACAACAATACTACTTGTACAACAACTGATGAGTAGTCAGGTACAAATCAATACTACTTGTACAACAACTGATGAGTAGTCAGGTACAAATCAATACTACTTGTACAACAACTGATGAGTAGTCAGGTACAAATCAATACTACTTGTACAACAACTGATGAGTAGTCAGGTACAAATCAATACTACTTGTACAACAACTGATGAGTAGTCAGGTACAAATCAATACTACTTGTACAACAACTGATGAGTAGTCAGGTACAAATCAATACTACTTGTACAACAACTGATGAGTAGTCAGGTACAAATCAGTACAACATCCACCTCTCTCACTATCTCAAGAACACTATCAACTAAAACACTAAATATATTCTTGTACTGTTCACTACATATAACACTTTCCAGTAACATATTTAACACATATTAAGATTTGGCAAACAACATTCCGATGTCAGTGACAGAATTACTGTCACAAATTTTGGTTAATTCATTTTGTGCGGTTAGTGGAATATCATACTCAGATTAATTACTACAAATATCATAATCATTTGTATACTGCTCAAAAGAAGTTGAGGATCACACAATTCTTTCATATTACTATAATTAATCTGTCATGCCATGAGAGAATAACTATAACAATATGAAAATAATCACTGTCCTCAACTTCTTTGAGTAGTATATGTCGTATGGAAACATGTACATTTTGTGTAACTTCTCATATTCATAAAAATAGTCATTTCTTCAAGGGGAAATTGCATCTAAGTGATCAGTGATAACATTAAATGCAAAGAAAATGTCGGATACGATTGAATTTTTTAACTAAAAAATAGATAGCCAATTAAAATATATATTTGGTGTTAACACGTGTTGGTTACCATTGATCACATGCGTAGTAATTTACGTAATGAGAGCAGGAATTTAACCAGAATCGGACTTAAAAAAAAAGTTGTTTGTTGCATCATGAATAAATTATTGAACTTGTTCCAGAAAAAAGTAAAATGATTATCTCTGCTTGGTGAAGTAATCTTTCTTCATGATTGTGCTTTGCTATGATGCCATTATCAGAATCATCAGAGTCAGAAGCATCCTTGTAGGATAAATTAAGGGCAAAAAGAATAAGTCCCTTGATTTGCCACATAACAAGAGTCAGCTGTTTTTGAACTAGTAAATAGTTCCAGCATAAATTAACTCCTATATTAAATGCTGATACAAAATAGATACTCTACAAGTACTACATGATAACCGATACTCTCCTAAATCTACTAATAATGGATTTCTACATAGCACCATCGGTCTGAACTCCTATATAATTGTTACCATGGCAACAATGCCATGATAATATTTCATGATTATTATGTAATGGCATCACACATGCCCCAGGATTTCAGACTGTTTTCTCAACATACCTGTCAGTGACGTTGCTATGTATACCATACTGTGTCAGGTAAAGGATCAGCATTTTGAAGAGTTTCTCAAACTGTTTGCAATTATAAACATTTTGAGCCTATGAAATGGGTATACATGCACATAAATGAGTTAAAAAAATCAGAGATTTCTAATGAATTCTGAATTTTTAAAATCGAATTAATGCACAAACAATATCAGAGAATAATTTTGACAAGATATGTGATATATTTTATATTAGGTCCTCCAACTTTACTCGAAGTCATTAGCTATGTTTTGATTGAGGCTATCCTTTGATTGAAGAGAATTTTTTCCCCCTGAAAATGCATTCCTGTTAAATTACCAGCTAGATCATAATGAAGACTTAAACATATTTCCATGGTAACGTCATACATGTATCAATAATCTCCATGGATACCATGAAAACGTCAGAATGTGGCGACTGTAAACAATCAGCTGTTAGCTCGAGTACCAGGGTTAGTTGAAGTATCCTCGATGACCCGAGTCATCAAGGTTATCAGGTACACACCTTCGTTTCCGACACTACTGGATGTCCTATGATAGGTCTTCCTCGTCATGGCATACAAAATATACATAAATTTCATGAAGCCAAAACAAATTGATTATTTATTTTTTTTGCATACTGGGTCCTAATTGATTATTGAGGTGTAAATTTTAAATTGGTTCGCAATGTTTCTTAAAAGATTTCTCTTGTTCGCCAAATATATAAATATGTATTTTTTCTGTCCCTGGACATATTTATGAAACCATTGCCCATGATAAAATAGTGAGGTCTTGCACTTTCTTCCATTACAAGAAGCTTGGTGAGTGGGCTTCAATGATGAAGGATGTAAATTTGAAGCTTAAGATAAAACCAGGCACGCCATCCCACTTAAAGAAGAGTTAGTGAGTTAGGTTAAAAGCTGCTTTGAACAGTATTCCAGTCCTATGACGGCATGTCAGCTTAAAGTTGGAGGAAAGCCCCAAGTGATGCAAGTTATAGATGTTTACCACGTTGGTGAAACCCACAAGCACGGGTATGATGGTGACAAACCTAGAAACATAACTGGAGTGAACCGGGTTTCGAAAGCCATGACAATAGGTTTCTAGCATGCCCAAGGGACGCAACTCTGCACAGTTAACTGCAGCACCTCAGACAACAACTTTAAAGAATTGAAACAGAGACAGGGATGCTATGAATTAAATAATCAATTTGTTGTGGCCCAATACATATTTGTTTCATTAATCCTTGTTAAAGGCTTCGGTCATTACCTGATAGTGAATAAATGCAATGTATCTCTAAGATGAAGGGTGCTGTTTCACAAGGCGATTGTAGCATTTCAACTTTTGTAATTCCTATACTTTGGCATGGCTATATGACAATCGTAGCGCTTCGGTCACTTTGTGGAACACGGCCCAGATAAAGGTTGCATCATAATGAGTCAAACATGTTCACAAATAACTTCTTTGAGAGTCATTTTAGTTGGAGTACTAAGTAAGGATAACATTAATGGATGAACAACTTCTTTATTACAATTAGGAGCAACGTTTCAGTGTTGGTTCTAACACCGTTATTACCTTCTTGATAACCGTGTTAGAACCTACACCAAAACATCTCTCCTAATTGTAATAAAGAAGATGTTCATCCATAAATCTTATCCTTAGTAATGTTCACAAATGTCAAGCCAAGCCGCACATCCACAAGCCACACATCCACAAGCCACACATCTTCACAACGGCAGCTGAACATGTCGCACCATTCACTGTGAAGTACTTGACAGCAACACACTGCTGTCACTAACATTTGAAGCACATACTGTCCGTAGTCTACACCACTGTGATATTCCTCCACATGTCTGTGGTAGAAAAGCTATGACTGTCCTAGACACCCCTGTTTCCCACCTGTCCTAGGCAATCATGTTTCCACCTGTCCTAAGCAATCACGTTTCCACCTGACCTAGACATTGTAGGATTCGTCCACAAGTCTTCCTGTAGGCCCATGTTGTAGGATTCATCTACAAGTCTTCCTGTAGGCCCATGTTGTAGGATTCATCCACAAGTCATCCTGTAGGCCCATGTTGTAGGATTCATCCACAAGTCTTCCTGTAGGCCCATGTTGTAGGATTCATCTACAAGTCTTCCTGTAGGCCCATGTTGTAGGATTCATCTACAAGTCTTCCTGTAGGCCCATGTTGTAGGATTCATCCACAAGTCTTCCTGTAGGCCCATGTTGTAGGATTCATCCACAAGTCTTCCTGTAGGCCCATGTTGTAGGATTCATCCACAAGTCATCCTGTAGGCCCATGTTGTAGGATTTATCTACAAGTCTTCCCGTAGGCCCATGTTGTAGGATTCATCCACAAGTCTTCCTGTAGGCCCATGTTGTAGGATTCTTCCACAAGTCTTCCTGTAGGCCCATGTTGTAGGATTCATCCACAAGTCATCCTGTAGGCCCATGTTGTAGGATTCATCCACAAGTCATCCTGTAGGCCCATGTTGTAGGATTCATCCACAAGTCATCCTGTAGGCCCATGTTGTAGGATTCATCCACAAGTCTTCCTGTAGGCCCATGTTGTAGGATTCATCCACAAGTTTTCCTGTAGGCCCATGTTGTAGGATTCATCCACAAGTCATCCTGTAGGCCCATGTTGTAGGATTCGTCCACAAGTCTTCCTGTAGGCCCATGTTGTAGGATTCATCTACAAGTCATCCTGTAGGCCCATGTTGTAGGATTCATCCACAAGTCATCCTGTAGGCTCATGTTGTAGGATTCATCCACTTCTTCGCAGTGTGAAATATGTTGCCAATGCTATTGCACATCAATTGTTTTTAAAATGATCATGAATTTGACACTGTCCAGGGTAAGCCATCTCTGCCACCAGTAATATCAGAGAACATTCACTCACAGTAAGCTTACATCAGGTCGAACGACATCTCCTTGATCCAACCAATGTTTGGTGACAGTGTTGCAATAATCATTTGGTTACCTCACAGTTGCTCTCCCATCCAGGGACAAACAGAGTCACACAGTCCTCATACCACAATAGCGGGGAAGATGTTGTCACTGGCTACAGAGCGGAAACTGTTGTGGATGGAGATGCACTCAAATGTTGATGAAGATGATGATGACAAATCTTTGTCAACATGGTGCACGTCCTGGTGATGCCTCAGCAACAGATGAGTGTGTATCTTCTCGGTCTTCGTCTGTGGCTCTGGGGCAGCATCACTGCTGTCAGGGATTGAACTAAACATGTTTGTCGGTGAACTAGTACTGATGATGGGATGGGATGTCACAGACAAACATCACAACACGGCTGGGCTAGCATTGCATGATGGGATGGGATGATGTCACAGATAAACATCACTAGCATTGCATGATGGGATGGACGACAGAATCACAGACTGTCAGCATCACAACACATCTGGAAGTCTGTGTAGATTCAGTATGAGACTGCTTCTGAGGTATATGGAAAAAAAATTAACTTATTCTATTTACAGCAATTTCCCGTCTTGATCACAAAAACAACAATAGTGCTATAACACTACATCTCCCCACTGGGCATCCATAGTACCTTTGTGCTTGTATGGAATTCTATCAACACAAAACAACTTGTACACATGTACACTGCTGAGTGTTCTGTTGTCATGGTAACACACAAAAATATATTATCCCGCTTGACATTTCATTATCGGTGGATGGATTTCTAAAACGAATTGAGACATCATTCATAATATCTGATGAAGTCAATTCCTCTGTTGCCATGGATACCAAATGATGTAGTGATGGTTACTTGTTAGTTTGGTGTACAAGGGAGGCATATACACTGTCTTCCTCGTCCCTGAGTACATCTGGTTTATCAAACTCCACCAGTTGACCTTGGTCAAGAACCATAACTCTGTCATAAGAAGCAATAGTTGCCATTCGATGCTGAAAGAAAACAGAGTAGAGATTTAGGCCACAAATTCAACAGTTTGTTTGTTGTTTAACGCCGCACTCAGCAATATTCCAGCTATATGACGGCGGTTTGTAAATAATCAAGACTTGACCAGACAATCCAGTGATTGATATCATGAGCACTGATCCACGTAATTGGGATACGATGACATGCACAAATTCAACAAAAATGTGTCAGTATGTTGTGAGTGAGTTGAATTTAAAAGTAAGATAGAATAAGATAACACTATATTATCATAAAGGATATTTGGGTTACATCAGCACAAGGTCTCAGCCTATTGATAAACACACATTAAATAAACACGAAGATCACAAACGTAATTAACATTAAATGTGGCACTGGTGAGTAAGTGCTTAACGAGTGTTTATCACAAAACTTATTCTAAGACCACCAGGCCAACTGTGCCACTCTCAGCTGATGAAAAGTAAAGGAGTGCATCAGTGAGATTTCATTGTCAACCATCACACATACTCGACCGTGGCCGGCAAAGGGGGCAACTCCAGTAGACTTTATGAAGTATGAGCACCAGCCCAGGTAATCTGACACACAGGTCAGCAATGGTTTTCAATGGTCACCCATTCCTGCAGCCAATCATTTTCACATAGGTTGTGCTAATAAAAAAATCTGTTAACCTGGAGTGCCTATCTGACCACAGGGAGCACGGGTGTCCAAGTCGTCGCAATTCACTGTGAAGAGTTGTGTCCCTTTGGCATGCCAGCAATCGATGATTGTGGGGTCAAATGTTGCTTCACCCCTGTTATGTTTCTAGGTTTGTCAGCACCATACTCACATTTGTGAGTTTCACCGAAGTGGTAAACGTCGGATACTGCATCAAATTGGACTTTCTTCCACATTAAGCTGACATGCTGTGATATAACTTGAATACTGTTCAAAACGCGGTGTTAAACCCAACTCACTCACTTTCTGACCACAAACACCAGGAGCTATATTGCTGTTCTGCGGCAGGCTACTCACTGCGATGGTGAGGATGGTCTTGTCCTTGAAGCCGTTCTCATGAACAACCTCCTGCAGCTTGGCGTCCGTCTCCATATCTATCGATGCCGTGGCCTCATCCAGGACGATGATACGCGAGTCTCGCAAGAATGCTCGAGCCAGACACATTAGCTACGACAGAATCAACAAATCAAATGAGTTGCAGGATTATCATAGGTATTTGGAGTCTCCTGCTCTTACAATATATACTATTAGTCAAAAGTTAAGCACATTTGTATATATCTCAATCAAGAAGCTACGTTAACTGCACCTTAATAACAAATTATCAGCAAAATTTGGTTTCTTCAAACTGTGACATTCAGGCTAAAAAAGTGGTCTTTTGGTTCTAAGGTACTGCCCACATCATCATACAGTTAGCTGCATGTTTCGTTTTTATTTCCATTATAGAAAATACAATAAAAATCCTTAAATATTCCAAGTCCAATGGCAGTCAAATACTGTATTAAAGTATTTTTACTCATCAAGGAATACATTTATGAAACCATGGAAACTCACCTGACGTTGTCCCATGCTGAAGTTGTCTCCCCCTTCCGACACCTGAGCATCTGTCAATCAAGTGCGACTAGGTCAATACAGACACAGTACTTCATTTGGGAGAGAAACCTACTGTGTTTTGAAATTTGAAGGTGTCTCAAGGTAGATTCAATTATTTTTATTTGGAACCATGATGTGTAGCAAAAAACACATGTTCCCGTATCAAATGTATGTGTACAGTTCTGACAAATAACAGGCAGCCAATTTTGTATGGAGTGATAGGTAGGAGATCAATGTATAGGTTTTTGTGTGAAAAGGCTTAATTTAGAGGTATCAAATGGAAATTAACTGATTCATGTGTAATGCTTCTTCAATATGTTGTTTTTTAATATTTAGTTTCTTGCTCAACAGGCGCCATGTGTAACTGTTTACCGAGAGTTGCCGGCAGTGCTGCAACTGTCTCCCGGAGGTGGACGGTGTCCAGTGCCGCCCACACAGCCTCATCAGACTTCACCCCACTTGGGTCAAGGTTGTACCTGGAAAAAGAGGTGAGGTGAAATGGGTTTTAGTATTGTGTACAAGGTATTTTACTTATACAACAACATCACAAGTCACTAATGTTCCCATTTCTTTCTGACTATGCACCCATTCCTTCTGACTTTTATATGTTTGAATAAAGATAAAACTCCATGCAGTAAACTTTAGTGTATGCATGACCAGATTGTTTTACACATGTATTTAAATCCATTTTTCCAGGCCATGGTCAAACTTTTCCAAATCGTACAGTTTGTACCTATCTCTAAATATCTACAGTGGGTACCCGGGTAGGGTCGGGTAATAGGGTGGAGGGTACACGGGTAGTAAATTTGGACTCGTCCCAGCCCTAGGCTGAAGGCTTCCCAATGGTATGATGTCTGTAAAATTCTTGGAAATCCAATATAATGTGCCACATGAATTCCCTGTTTATTCCCAGGTCAATATCAATAGAAAACAATAAAATTACCATCCATAAAGCAAGGCCTGAAATATCTCATTACATAGCCTTTGATCCCAGTTCTCTCATTATCACAAACATTTTTATGACAATAATATCTAATTGATTTGAATTTTTATTAATAATGTCGTGAACATGAAACCATTTTATCATAAACCTATCCATGATGTAAGGCATTTTGCATTTTGAATAGCTGACCAATATCAGCTCAGTTGTTTGATAGGCATTACTTAGAAGTTGACAGATGACAAAAAGACACAATTTATGGATAACAACTTCTTTAATACTGTTACGGCAACGTTTTGGTATAGATCCTTATACCGTTGTCAAGCAAGTCAAGAAGCTGTTATCCATAAATTGTGTCTACTTTGATATCAGCTCGGGTGGTAAGACATGGAGTTATGTCCCCTGTTGTGTCATCAGCTTGGCCAGCTTTCCTGTGACGGGGTGTGCAAAATATGGTGAAAATATATTATTTACACTTGCAAATAGATAAACTTTACAATTTGATGTTATGGTATATGATATAGAGGTTATCACGCGAGTGTGTTTGGGGATGGTAAATATCCTGCATTAGGAATAAACATTGTATTTAGCGAGCCTTGGCAAGCTAAATACAATGTTTATTCCTAATGCAGGATATTTACCATCCCCAAACACACAAGCGTGATAACCTCTTTATCATATTATGTCATTCTTTAATTCCGTGCTTCAAAATCGCTTTCCCTCTCTCACAAACATTACCGAAACATTGCGAGTTTTCCTGGAATGCGCGCATTAATATTTATTACATCACAGGGTAAGTGATGTGTCAGTCGGACAGTGACAGTAGCCAATATAGTTCCAACTGAAATCTGTTTCTTATACAGTGGCGAAGCAACATATACGCAAAACAACAATTGTTTTTAATTGCCTTTCGAGGCAATCCATCGGTCTGTCCGCTAGAGTAACTGCCCTTTGTCAAAGGGAAGCTACTCTAACCCTAGTCTATGAGAGTGAGACGTCACGGCCACGGTCAGACGTTGTTGACAGTCGGTCGGTCCTGTCATAACGTTAAGAAGTGTAGTCAGATGTACACACAGCAGCAAAACCAAACAAGGTAACAATTCAAACATATTTCGGCCAAATCCAACTATTTTAATTTGTGGAGAAGGTTTCAAGCTGCAGAGGTCTACAAGCACAGATATTGCTACTGATCCCGCTTGGCTAGGCCTCGTGCCCTCGCAAAATTGTTTCGAAATTTATATCTCCAAAGTTGCCAAAACTTATAAAATGCCTTAGCTACGTCACAGTTATACACTGATTTTTAGCATATAAGACTGTTCTTTTGATAATGATAGCAATTATACCTGTAGTTTATCCAGATTCCCGATGGTTAATTCTGACTCGATTGCCAAATGACGAGGGCGACGCCATGTTTGTTTATAAACAGTGAAAGTAGTCCCTACTTGACCTTTGATATTTGCATCTCTATCTGCATATGACCTATGCATATAAGACTGTTCTTTTGATAATGATAGCAATTATACCTGTAGTTTATCCAGATTCCCGATGGTTAATTCTGACTCGATCGCCAAATGACGAGGGCGACGCCATGTTTGTTTATAAACAGTGAAAGTAGTCCCTACTTGACCTTTGATATTTGCAACTCTATCTGCATATGACCCCAACGGATATGGTTTTTATCCGTTGGCTTTATCCTGCCGAGAAACCTACCCATTATATGATAAATAAAGGTTATTATAAAGCAGTTTTCATAGCATCTCGTATATCAACCCTCAACCCTCAACCCCCTCATCAGAACTCTGGTCTTTGGCCCCCGAGCTGCTATGGGGGTCGAGGATTGATACTAGGGCTGGGACGATACACCAACTGTGCCATCTGATACGTATCATGATACCTTGCTCACGATCCAATACGTATCATGATACTTGCATATGCTCTTATCTGTGGTGCGTAAGCCATCTTTATTATAGACAGGATGGCCAAATACACTGACAAATTACAGTTTTCAGTGTAAAGTAAAGCGCAATGGATGAAAATATGTATGTTTTCACTACTCAATTTCACTGGTAATTAGTGCTTGGTGTAACATTTATTGAAGATTACATTTAAGGTAAGAATCGATATTTATTACTTTGCGTGTGACTGTGATCCATACTTGTATCAAGAAGTAACAAATCGTGTTCCACCGATGCATCGGTGTATCGTCTCACTACTAGTTGATATGGGGTATGATATGATCGTTTGTTTGTTTGTTTGTTTGTTGTTTAACGCTGCACTCAGCTATATTCCAGCTATATGATGATGGTCTGTAAGCAATCGAGTCTGGCCCAGACAATCCAGTGATTGACAACATGAGCATCAATCCGTGCAATTGGGATCTGCCATCTCATAAACTCAAAGTATCATATATCACATCACATGATATATAAATACATCAAACATACTGCATCCTTTATCATACACATGCTAAATAACTGAACAGACAAGTCTTCAGTCTCACCTCACAGAGCCATTAAACAAAACAGGATCCTGAGGGATGATAGACAACCTTGACCTCAATACACCAAGGTCAACCCGGGCAATATTCTGACCATCAATAGTTATCTCCCCTGATGACACCTCCAGCATGCGGAATAGTGCCAGAGTGAGAGACGTCTTGCCACTGCCCGTCCGACCACAGATCCCGATCTACAAGAGAACCAGTCAGTTAAGTGGGTCAAGTTATAGGAGAAGTTATATGCAACACTGAAAGGCCACAGGCCCATAGTACAGTTCTATTTTCGGGGGTGGTTGCAGATATGTTTAACAGTTCATATTCCAATTAACATAGCATGATAAATAAACATTGATAGTTGTTTAAGAGTATGATTATCAGTTGTTGACATGATCAATATATTTTTTTGCTAAGAGGGATGTACATAAAAAGGCAGTTCTATATATTTACTTTTCAAATCGTCATATTTCGGAGAAACTAACAGAAAATGAAACTCATCTTCAATCACATTTAAATCACATTGCTCACATATTCTCAATTCTCTGGCTGTTTCTGGGTCTGCCTTCTTCAATCCAAAGTCTAAGAGAGTTGCATCAAAATAGTATTCTGGGGAAATATTTGTCCTCCAAAGCTTGTCATAACTGCATTTTTCTAAACTTAAAACGTGCGATGACCATTTTTGTAAGTTGGTTTGTTGTTTAAAGTCGCACCTAGCAATATTCCAGCTATATGACGGCGGTCTGTAAATTATCAAGTCTGGACCAAACAATCCAGTGATTAACATCATGAGCATCGATCCACGCAATTGGGATCGATGACATGCATCAACCAAGTCAGCAGGCCTGACCACCTAATTCCGTTAGTCGCCTCCTACCACAAGCATAGTCACCTTTTACGGCAAGCATGGGTTGCTGAAGACCTATTCTACTTAAGTTTTTGGTGTATAGATACCAAAACTGTGGTGCAGGTCGATCTTTGATGTTTACCACTATGGTGAAACGCACGAGCATGGGTATGATGCTGACAAACTTTGAAATATTATCAGGGCGAACTGGATATTCGAACCCATAATCATAGGTTTCTGCAATGCCTAAGGGACTATAACAACTTGGCTATCTCTGCCCACACCAGCAGTATAAGCAACCGACAAGAGAGAGGTCATTCCATAGAGGAGTGAAAAATAAGGGTAGGCAAATAGACAAGGGAATTGCCAAAATATTTTCGATATTATGTTTTAGGTGTATGTCACACTTCATGTGGTGTCAGATTACACTGGCATTCCAAACACTATACAATAAAGTAGAACAATTTGGGATTGTGTATGCCTCGTATCTGAATCAGAGGCTTTGGGATTTCAGAGATGTTTTGATGGAAACACAAAATGCTGTTCAGGGTAGGAAAAACTAATTATGTTGATAGAATATGAAACAAAGCTTCCTACCTTTTCACCAGCTTTGATGGAGAAAGTAACATGATGGACGATGTCATCAAGGTGACTGTCATACCTCAAGCTGACTATGTCAAACTCGATTGCACCCTGTTCTGGCCATGAGTCTGACACCTGGATATTACCTGAAATATATGTGAACATCTGGTCAGTCTGTGAATGAATGGTCAGTTGGTGAACACCTGGTCAGTTGGTGAACACCTGGTCAGTCTGTGAATGAATGGTCAGTCTGTGAATGAATGGTCAGTTGGTGAACACCTGGTCAGTTGGTGAACACCTGGTCAGTCTGTGAATGAATGGTCAGTCTGTGAATGAATGGTCAGTTGGTGAACACCTGGTCAGTTGGTGAACACCTGGTCAGTCTGTGAATGAATGGTCAGTTGGTGAACACCTGGTCAGTCTGTGAATGAATGGTCAGTTGGTGAACACCTGGTCAGTTGGTGAACACCTGGTCAGTCTGTGAATGAATGGTCAGTTGGTGAACACCTGGTCAGTCTGTGAATGAATGGTCAGTTGGTGAACACCTGGTCAGTCTGTGAACACCTGGTCAGTCTGTGAATGAATGGTCAGTTGGTGAACACCTGGTCAGTTGGTGAACACCTGGTCAGTCTGTGAACACCTGGTCAGTCTGTGAATGAATGGTCAGTTGGTGAACACCTGGTCAGTCTGTGAACACCTGGTCAGTCTGTGAATGAATGGTCAGTTGGTGAACACCCGGTCAGTTCGTGAACACCTGGTCAGTCTGTGAATGAATGGTCAGTCTGTGAATGAATGGTCCTGTTGGTGAACACCTGGTCAGTCTGTGAATGAATGGTCAGTTGGTGAACACCTGGTCAGTCTGTGAACACCTGGTCAGTCTGTGAATGAGTGGTCAGTTGGTGAACACCTGGTCAGTCTGTGAACACCTGGTCAGTCTGTGAATGAATGGTCAGTTGGTGAACACCTGGTCAGTCCGGGAATGAATGGACAGTCTGTGAACACCTGGTCAGTCTGTGAATGAATGGACAGTCTGTGAATGAATGGTCAGTCTGTGAACACCTGGTCAGTCTGTGAATGAATGGTCAGTTGGTCAACGCCTGGTCAGTTGGTGAACACCTGGTCAGTCCGTGAATGAATGGTCAGTCTGTGAATGCATAGTCAGTTCATGAACACCTGGTCAGTCAGTGAACACTCTGCCAGTCTGTAAACATTACTGGTATTGAAAATACTATTTTGCTATCACCTTTTCATATTCTAAAAGCAATATTTCATCAACTCACTGAAATCTGTTTAGGTTTATTTATAACTGTAAAATATGCTACCGCCAAACACATCCGTCACTTTCAGGGAATACGATGACGTATTTCTTCTAAACATGCAATATAACATGCCATCAAAGCTGATAAATTAACTCTATAGAAAGTGCGAACTGACCATCCTTGTGTTTTTGGAACTCGGTGGTCAGCTGTGTGTATTCCCGTATCCTCTCTACAGCATTCATGTTCATCTCGACCTCCGCTGTCATCCGCACCAACCAGTTCAACAGTGCAGAGATCTGACCAAACATCAAAAGCATCACATGACCCACCATCTACTGATATGGCATCACTGTTCACTGACGTAACACCAAAAATCATGTAGTGCACTCTCTTAATAAAATACAAACACATTAACAAAAACAGACCCGTGAAGATCTGGGGTAGAATAGGTCTTCAGCAACCCATGCTTGCCGTAAAAGGCGACTAACGGGATTGGGTGGTCAGGCTCGCTGACTTGGTTGATGCATGTCATTGTATCCCAATTGCGTGGAACGATGCTCATGATGTCAATCACTGGATTGTCTAGTCAAGACTATTATTTACAGACTGCCGTCATTTCATATGAGTGCAGATACTCAGTAATCGTTGTTTGGAACGGATTCAACTCACCATGAGGGCATACATGATGCACAGCCCGATGAAGGCAGGGTTGGTACTCCCCAGGGCACCCGCACTCAGACTGGCGATGGCCGACAGAAACACAAGGAGGCAACCCAGATAATCCTGAAACCCAAATCTCCAAATCCTAATCGTGTGTGATATTATGAGCACTGAATGTTAATGACTGTACTCACTCAAGTAACCACTGCTGCTCAATTTAAACGAAATTAGGAAATTAATTTTAAAGGTAATGCAGCTCTACTTTGAAAAGGCAGTATGTTTATCTCCATTCCACCGTGACTGAATCAAACGTGAACTCTTCGGTGATATTGAGTGATATTTATGAAATAAAGGACAAAAGTATGCAATAACAGTCAAATGTTACTAAAAAAGTTCAAAATACAAAACAGACGCCGGTTAAAAAATACACAGTTGAATTTAAGGTCAAACGTACGCAATATAATAGTCAAATGTTACAAAAAGATGTCATATGAAAAGAAAAAACAATGTGTACTAAAGAGCGTCACACTACTAAAGGACACTGACAATAAAGAACGCCAGACGGCATTGCAATTTGTAAAACATTCTGAGTTTAATCGGCTTGTTCCAATGTGTATATGATAACTGCATGCTGAGATCCACAATGGATTACATCATTTTCATGACATCTGGAAAGTGAACGTTGTGCGAGAATTGCGCTTACGCTGTACTGTGCCAACCTAACACACGTTAAAACTACTTTCCTGCCTGATGGTGTGGTATAAATGTAACTGCAAGTATTAAACCAATTTGAAAAAGAGACACTAAGTGTTTGAAATTTTGTTATGCGTAACAAAACAGCAAATGTCACCACTTATTATCCTACATCGATATATGTACTGTGCAACATTTGTTTTATTTCACAGCTTCTCTGAAACTGTAAGCAAACAATATGCTGCCCTATTTCTTAACACAAAAATATATATCAATTGGATTTGTATGCATATGTATAACTTTGTACATTTGATAGGAAAAATAGCTTGCCATAAATGATGTTGAGACAGTGCACAATTCTCCCACAATGTTCACATTTCAGATGTTATGAAAATGTGCGTCTGAAACATAACTCTGCATCATAACACCCTCGTGTTGCACCAATTCAAAAAGGCCCTTTCCCGGTGACGATGCATAAACGAAACGAAATGTATACATTATACATTACACATATGTGACGTCAGACGGTGGGTGCACGAGGAATGACGTAATACATTGTGGATCTCAGCATGCAGTTATCATATACACATTGGAACAAGCCGATTAAACTCGGAATGTTTTACAAATTGCAATGCCATCTGGCGTTCTTTATTGTCAACGTCCTTTCACAGTTTAGTGTCCTTTCATGCGCAATGTATGTTTAACCAGCGTCTGTTTGTTTTGTATTTTGACCTTTATTAGTAACATTTAATACTTTATTTGTAACATTTAACTATTATTTCAACTTTGTATTTTATGACCGAATGGCCGCCCATAGAAGTGGCATGGTTTGAATTCAATGTTTTGTGGAACTCACCAGTCTGATCCCCAGCCACCTGTTGATGGTGTGAATGTACAAGAATGGGGCTACATTTGAGTCGATGGTTGCAAACGCTTTCCTCCGGAATGCCACTTGACACCTAGAAAACAATGACAGAATGTCAATACTACCAGTCATTAGTTTCACAATCTGTATGTTCTTCACAGATGACTTTCATAAGACATCGTCTGAATATTCCAAGGTAAAACTAATCTTACCACATACACCCTTCTCATGACCTTACAACACAAACTTCTCCCTCCCCTGCAAAGATCCATGTTAGATTAGTCTTCAGCAACCCATGGTTATCGTAAGAGACAACTTTCGGAATCCGGTGGTCACTCACAGGTTGATGCATGTCATCCATCCCAACTGCCATCTATGCTCATGACATCAATCTCTGGATTGTCTAGCCTAGACTTAATTATTCACAGAACGATTCCATATAGATGGAATATTGCTGACGTTAAACAACAAACAAACAACATACTGTATATGACCGTAGATAAGCTAATCTCATGGGTAAGCCAAGGTATTAACTTGGTCCCTAAAATCTGTATTAAAATGATATGTGTACCGTCTCGCCATGAGAAATGGAATATCAACAAGTCCATATTGAATTACGCAAGTTAATGTCGTTACACCATCGGTAATAAAAACTGTTCACTGCACATCTGGACTCTTGTTTGTAATCTACAGAATCTATTTGATTAATTTGAATCAAAATTTCATTAAAAAATATTGACATTAATTTCGGAGAAATTGTGTATCCCTCCGATCCTTACAACTTCTGTTTGCCTCGCTCCATAAGGTCTGCTTTACCACATACTGTGACAGCACCATCTCACCGTTATTTACAGCAACCATGATCATATTACCGCTAATGACACCTTGAAATGAACCTTAGTTGACAGAGAATTGAAACATATATTATAACTGCCATACTTTGACTCGTTAAAAGTAATATTTGTTGTAGTTGGCAGTTAAATGTCAACATATTGTTTTTGTGATGGAAATAGCGGCATCACACAAAACCTCAAGAATGATTTGTCAAGTCATTCCATGCGAAAAAAGTACCCAACAATACACAAAACAATACACAACTCCCAAACCTTAACATAGGCTTACGACGGTCGTAGCGCTAAAGTTGTTTTGTACAACGACACCCTAGGATATATCTAGGCCTGCTCAGAGGCTGATCTTGGACCCCAGTCTCCAGTAAATATTTGTAAATATTTGTAAATATACCCTGTACTGACCTGTACGCCCTGATAGTCTGCAGGCCGCCGAGGGTCTCGCCGAAGTGAGCGTATACAGGAGACTTGGTGACACTGTCAAGACGCTGCAACTCTCTGAAGCCACAATGACAAACACATACATCTGAAGTGATGGAGTGAGTTTAGTTTAACACCACTTTATGAATATTTCAGTAATATCATAGGGTGTCAGCTTGATGTGGGAGGAAAGCTCCAAGTGTGATGCAGGTGTTGTGAATTTACCACTTTGGTGACACCCACGAGGAGGGTATGTAACTGACAAACCAAGAATTGTGTGAGTTGGGTTTAACGCCGCTTTTAACAATATCCCAGTTATCGCGGCGTGTCAGCTGAATGTGGGAGGAAAGCCCGAAGTGATGCATGTCTCAGACGTTTACCACTTCGGTGACACCCACGAACACGGGTATGGTGCTGACAAACCTAGAAACATAATCGGGGCGAACTTGGACTCAAACCCTCTATCATATGTTTCTGGCTCAACTGAAGCACACAACTCTCCACAGAAGATACAGGCAGAGCTGCAAACAACTGGGCCACCTGTGCCCCACATGCATCTTGACATTTTGAGAAGAAAACTTTCAGTTGACCTGGATGGGTTTCATTAAAACAACTAAAGGTAATAAATGTTATATTTGGGATGACACTTTCTGAGTATAGTACAGATTCTCGTACTGTTTTGGGTTGAATCCCATCCGGGATTCGAACCCACACTGCCAGTGAGGCACCTAATCGCCAGCACACAAAGTCAGCGATCTAACCCACTCAGCCACTGAGGTTTCCACAAAAATATGGTGGTCCAGATCACATACTTTGTGTACCCCTCTGACAAGTGTAAATTGGCATGTCTCCCATGGCCGAAAGCTATGAACACACAATGCCATTTAGAAAGTGGTCAAGCGCCATATTTGGAATGACATAAAAGATTCAGGAACTGTGCAAGTGGGTGCATTAGCATGAAAAATCTTTTCATAATCACAATTATAGCATACAAGTGAGTAAAAGCATTGCAATTTAACGCTGCTTTGAACAGTATTCCAGTTATATCCGGCGTTGGAGGAAAGCCCAAAGTGACGCAGGTCTCCGACATTTACTTTAGCATACAACCATGAGACAGCTTTGTACAACGAGGACCAGGCAGACAGTCAAGGTTGTAACACTTTGTTCAGTTTGTTCCAGAATGACCACTGACCTTGATGTGTTCCTGAAGAACCTTTGGAGGAAATAGTACAGGAGAACCAGAGGAAGAGCTGCGAGGATGAAGAAGGGTGTTGCGATGCTGTTCACAACAATGGCCGAGAACGTGTACAGGAGACATCGTAAAGAACTCTCAAAACTTGCTGCCAATTTCTGAAAAACAAGTTAGCCTGTTGATGTTTTGAGATATGGGAACTAGAATCCATCTCCTCCTTCTACCCATCCTAACTGTCCAGACCTCCTTCTACCCATCCTAACTGTCCAGACCTCCTTCTACCCATCCTAACTGTCCAGACCTCCTTCTACCCATCCTAACTGTCCAGACCTCCTTCTACCCATCCTAACTGTGCAGACCTCCTTCTACCCATCCTAACTGTGCAGACCTCCTTCTACCCATCCTAACTGTCCAGACCTCCTTCTACCCATCCTAACTGTCCAGACCTCCTTCTACCCATCCTAACTGTCCAGACCTCCTTCTACCCATCCTAACTGTCCAGACCTCCTTCTACCCATCCTAACTGTGCAGACCTCCTTCTACCCATCCTTACTGTCCAGACCTCCTTCTACCCATCCTAACTGTCCAGACCTCCTTCTACCCATCCTAACTGTCCAGACCTCCTTCTACCCATCCTAACTGTGCAGACCTCCTTCTACCCATCCTTACTGTCCAGACCTCCTTCTACCCATCCTAACTGTCCAGACCTCCTTCTACCCATCCTAACTGTCCAGACCTCCTTCTACCCATCCTAACTGTGCAGACCTCCTTCTACCCATCCTTACTGTCCAGACCTCCTTCTACCCATCCTAACTGTCCAGACCTCCTTCTACCCATCCTAACTGTCCAGACCTACTTCTACCCATCCTAACTGTCCAGACCTACTTCTACCCATCCTAACTGTGCAGACCTCCTTCTACCCATCCTAACTGTCCAGACCTCCTTCTACCCATCCTAACTGTCCAGACCTACTTCTACCCATCCTAACTGTGCAGACCTCCTTCTACCCATCCTAACTGTGCAGACCTCCTTCTACCCATCCTAACTGTCCAGACCTACTTCTACCCATCCTAACTGTCCAGACCTACTTCTACCCATCCTAACTGTCCAGACCTACTTCTACCCATCCTAACTGTCCAGACCTACTTCAAACCATCATTACCTAATGAGCTACCAGTAATTAAATCCTAATTGTATATCAAATTAACATTTCATTTGTTACTGGCTGTATTAGTGTGGCAGTTACAGGTTTTGTTTAACTGTCAACTAACCAGTAATATACCAGTAGTATAAAGTGAATATAATACATAGTGTAGTTAGTATTAGTATTAATATTAGCATTAGTTATTTGTGTCAGTATTAGTATATAGTGTAAATAATACATAGTGTAGTTAGTATTAGCATTAGTATTATTATTAATATTAGTATTTAGTATTAGTATTTATTATTAATATTAGTATTTAGTATTAGTATTTTTTATTAGTATTAGTATTATTATTAATATTAGTATTTAGTATTAGTATTTATTATTAATATTAGTATTTAGTATTAGTATTTATTATTAATATTAGTATTTAGTATTAGTATTTAGTATTAATATTAGTATTTAGTATTAGTATTTAATATTAGTATTTAGTATTAGTATTTAGTATTAGTATTTAGTATTAGTTTGCAGTATGGGTTTTAGGGATTTTAATGAAGATTTGATACAATACCTTTTAACTTAGTTATGCTTGGGTCAGTCACTACCCTATCAGCTCCTTTGTGTCAGCCAGGGCAAATGTTCTGGTTGAGTGGTTCCCTATTGTTTTCCTTAGGGTCAGCTTTGCATGCTTTTTACCCCTCACTTGCACCTCAGTCACTACACAGACAAGTCACTGACAGACGACAGCAAGTGGGCATATTCTATAGATTTTGTGAAGTCAAGGTATGTTTCCAATTAAATACTCAAACATATATAAATCTATCTTTTCATAAATAAGATTATATAAATAGGTGTACGTTAAATAAGGTATTTGTTATGATGTGTGTGAGATTTAGTCAATGTCTGATTCTCCTGGACAGGGTGTTGTTTGAATATGTTTATGAGGCTATTATCATATATGTGTTCAGTATTGGAGAAAACACTTTCCCTCGGTTTTGGTAGACATAGCATGCCCTGGGGAGAGGGAAAAACCAAGGGGGCGAACAGATCATGTTGGGAGAATGACAACCAGCAGCCATTGTGTACAGCCAATGGTGTACAACAACTTCTTTATCTGCCCATATCGCCATTAAATGAGGCAAATGGCATGGAAGTCAAGATTTAATCTCAGAGTGCAAGAAAAAGGTTTATGGGTGTGGTGTTCTGAAATTTCCAGAGCCCTGCAAACTGGCCAATTCGTGGCCTCCTCCATTTAGTTGTAGGCCAGTTTGGAGAAGGGCCAGAAACTTGAGAAGTGAGTAATCCCTGCTGGCTGAATACAAAATTGTTGTTAAATCTACCCCTGATGTCATCTGTGGGATGACTCCATGCCCTGCTACATGTGCTGTAGTTAAGCTGTGAGGCATACAAGACTGACCAGGTCATCTGTGGGAGGACTCCATGCCCTGCTACATATGCTGTAGTCAAGCTGTGAGGCATACAAGACTGACCAGGTCATCTGTGGGATGACTCCATGCCCTGCTACATATGCTGTAGTCAAGCTGTGAGGCATGCAATACTGACCTGGTCAACAGTGGCTACATCGGAGGTGAATCTGTTCAGCACCCGTCCACTGGGATTTGTGTCGAAGAATCTGAAACAGAGTGCCATGACAACTGTGAATGTAGATAATTTGTAACATACTACCCACTATTTTGAGTGAGGTTGGGTGAGGTGAAATGGGGCTTTACATCGCATCCAAGATCATTGCACTTATAAAGCGACATGCATTCACGTGTGTGCTTGTACTTGTCAGACTAAAGCTGATTTTATAGTGCTAGCCCACTGAGATACCATGCCGCAGTTTAACATGAAACCCCACTCAGACACAGTATACTGACTCCGAGCTTACAAGTCCTTGTTTCAGCCCCTTAAAGTCGAGAGCTAGGCAGGGTAACAACTATACCACTGGACCACGAAGGCATTTTGAGAGGCTGAGGATATAGATGAGGATGGCATCATCTACACATGACCTTGGTCACCTGTGAAGATTCGGGTAAGAATAGGTCTTCAGCAACCTATGCTTGCCGTAAAAGGAGTCTACCCTTGTCGTAAGAGGCAACTAACAGGATCGGTCGGTCAGGCTCGCTGACTTGGTTGATGCATGCTCATGATGGCAATCACTGGATTGTCTGGTCCAGACTCGATATCTACAGACCGCCATCATATAGCTGAAATATTGCTGAGTGCGGCATTAAACAACAAACAAACACATGATCTTGGCCTCATTCCACAAGTAGTCCAAATGCTACAACAGTTGCTGAAATCCTTGCACAATTGACCAGCACAGGATTCACACACAACTTTCCAGTCTTCTTCAGGTGAGTATGGGTAAGCTGTTCCATGCATTACTGGGAACAACTTTCTTTCTATTAAACTCTCATACCCGACACGGGACACCGAAATGTGCGGTGCAGAGTTGTATCCCTTAGGCATGCCAGTATCAAGTGATCATGTGTTTACGCAATCACCACGCCTCACTAAAAGTCTTCTATTCTTTGCTGTGTTAACCGAACCTACACAATCACCACGCCTAACTTAAAGTCTACTATTCTTAGCAGTGTTAACCCAACCAGTCAATCACGCATGCCTAACATAAAGTCATGTTGCCTAAATACTTTGTGAGCCCGCCACCTGGTCTGGTCGGGTGTTGAGATGTGTGTACCTCATGTTGACGTGAATGACATTGTTGAGCATGTTCTTGAAGAGTGACCTTGCCCCTTGTAGCCCGGTGAAGTAGAGAATGATGGATGCCAGCAGCGCCCCCGCCAAGGCCGACAGCGACAGTGCTGCGTACAGCTTCACATGCGGGGTACTGTCGAATACCTGGAGAAATAAAGGTAAGAGTAATCTTGATCAGAGCTCCAGGTATACAGCAACACAAACACTGAACCTCCTGACTTTCCATATTACGGGGGTTAGAGTATTTCAATAAAAATGGTGGGAAATATTTTGCCAGATGGACTTATTGACACAATAGACTTAGATGGTGGAGGTGTTAAGGGTGGGGGAGGGTGGTGGACAGACTTACTGGCACTGTAGAGTTGGGTGGCGGAGGGTGGTGGACAGACTTACTGGCACTGTAGAGTTGGGTAGGGGAGGGTGGTGGACAGACTTACTGACACTGTAGAGTTGGGTGGCGGAGGGTGGTGGACAGACTTACTGGCACTGTAGAGTTGGGTGGCGGAGGGTGGTGGACAGACTTATTGGCACTGTAGAGTTGGGTGGGGGAGGGTGGTGGACAGACTTACTGGCACTGTAGAGTTGGGTGGGGGAGGGTGGTGGACAGACTTACTGGCACTGTAGAGTTGGGTGGCGGAGGGTGGTGGACAGACTTACTGGCACTGTAGAGTTGGGTGGCGGAGGGTGGTGGACAGACTTACTGGCACTGTAGAGTTGGGTGGCGGAGGGTGGTGGACAGACTTACTGGCACTGTAGAGTTGGGTGGGGGAGGGTGGTGGACAGACTTACTGGCACTGTAGAGTTGGGTGGGGGAGGGTGGTGGACAGACTTACTGGCACTGTAGAGTTGGGTGGCGGAGGGTGGTGGACAGACTTACTGGCACTGTAGAGTTGAGTGGCGGAGGGTGGTGGACAGACTTACTGGCACTGTAGAGTTGGGTGGTGGACAGACTTACTGGCACTGTAGAGTTGGGTGGCGGAGGGTGGTAGACAGACTTACTGGCACTGTAGAGTTGGGTGGTGGAGGGTGGTAGACAGACATACTGGCACTGTAGAGTTGGGTGGGGGAGGGTGGTGGACAGACTTACTGGCACTGTAGAGTTGGGTGGGGGAGGGTGGTGGACAGACTTACTGGCACTGTAGAGTTGGGTGGGGGAGGGTGGTGGACAGACTTACTGGCACTGTAGAGTTGGGTGGGGGAGGGTGGTGGACAGACTTACTGACACTGTAGAGTTGGGTGGCGGAGGGTGGTGGACAGACTTACTGGCACTGTAGAGTTGGGTAGGGGAGGGTGGTGGACAGACTTACTGGCACTGTAGAGTTGGGTAGGGGAGGGTGGTGGACAGACTTACTGGCACTGTAGAGTTGGGTAGGGGAGGGTGGTGGACAGACTTACTGGCACTGTAGAGTTGGGTAGGGGAGGGTGGTGGACAGACTTACTGGCACTGTAGAGTTGGGTGGCGGAGGGTGGCGGACAGACTTACTGGCACTGTAGAGTTGGGTGGCGGACAGACTTACTGGCACTGTAGAGTAGTGGGGGGGAGGGTGGCGGACAGACTTCCTGGCACTGTAGAGTTGGGTAGGGGAGGGTGGTGGACAGACTTACTGGCACTGTAGAGTTGGGTGGCGGACAGACTTACTGGCACTGTAGAGTTGGGTGGGGGAGGGTGGCGGACAGACTTACTGGCACTGTAGAGTTGGGTGGCGGAGGGTGGTGGACAGACTTACTGGCACTGTAGAGTTGGGTGGGGGAGGGTGGCGGACAGACTTACTGGCACTGTAGAGTTGGGTGGCGGAGGGTGGCGGACAGACTTACTACACTGTAGAGTTGGGTGGGGGAGGATGGTGGACAGACTTACTGGCACTGTAGAGTTGGGTGGGGGAGGGTGGTGGACAGACTTACTGGCACTGTAGAGTTGGGTGGTGGAGGGTGGTAGACGGACTTACTGACACTGTAGAGTTGGGTGGTGGACAGACTTACTGGCACTGTAGAGTTGGGTGGCGGAGGGTGGCGGACAGACTTACTACACTGTAGAGTTGGGTGGGGGAGGGTGGTGGACAGACTTACTACACTGTAGAGTTGGGTGGGGGAGGGTGGTGGACAGACTTACTGGCACTGTAGAGTTGGGTGGCGGAGGGTGGTGGACAGACTTACTGGCACTGTAGAGTTGGGTGGCGGAGGGTGGCGGACAGACTTACTACACTGTAGAGTTGGGTGGGGGAGGGTGGTGGACAGACTTACTGGCACTGTAGAGTTGGGTGGCGGAGGGTGGTGGACAGACATACTGGCACTGTAGAGTTGGGTGGGGGAGGGTGGTGGACAGACTTACTGGCACTGTAGAGTTGGGTGGGGGAGGGTGGTGGACAGACTTACTGGCACTGTAGAGTTGGGTAGGGGAGGGTGGTGGACAGACTTACTACACTGTAGAGTTGGGTAGGGGAGGGTGGCGGACAGACTTACTGGCACTGTAGAGTTGGGTGGCGGAGGGTGGTAGACAGACTTACTGACACTGTAGAGTTGGGTGGGGGAGGGTGGTGGACAGACTTACTGGCACTGTAGAGTTGGGTGGCGGAGGGTGGTGGACAGACTTACTGGCACTGTAGAGTTGGGTGGGGGAGGGTGGTGGACAGACTTACTGGCACTGTAAAGTTGGGTGGTGGACAGACTTACTGGCACTGTAGAGTTGGGTGGGGGAGGGTGGTGGACAGACTTACTGGCACTGTAAAGTTGGGTGGTGGACAGACTCACTGGCACTGTAGAGTTGGGTGGTGGACAGACTTACTGGCACTGTAGAGTTGGGTGGCGGAGGGTGGTGGAGGGTGGTGGACAGACTTACTGGCACTGTAGAGTTGGGTGGGGGAGGGTGGTGGACAGACTTACTTGCACTGTAGAGTTGGGTGGCGGAGGGTGGCGGACAGACTTACTGGCACTGTAGAGTTGGGTGGCGGAGGGTGGTAGACAGACTTACTGGCACTGTAGAGTTGGGTGGGGGAGGGTGGCGGACAGACTTACTGGCACTGTAGAGTTGGGTGGTGGACAGACTGACTGGCACTGTAGAGTTGGGTGGTGGACAGACTTACTGGCACTGTAGAGTTGGGTGGCGGAGGGTGGTAGACAGACTTACTGGCACTGTAGAGTTGGGTGGCGGAGGGTGGTAGACAGACTTACTGGCACTGTAGAGTTGGGTGGCGGAGGGTGGCGGACAGACTTACTGGCACTGTAGAGTTGGGTGGGGGAGGGTGGCGGACAGACTTACTGGCACTGTAGAGTTGGGTGGCGGAGGGTGGCGGACAGACTTACTGGCACTGTAGAGTTGGGTGGGGGAGGGTGGCGGACAGACTTACTGGCACTGTAGAGTTGGGTGGGGGAGGGTGGTGGACAGACTTACTGGCACTGTAGAGTTGGGTGGCGGAGGGTGGTGGACAGACTTACTGGCACTGTAGAGTTGAGTGGCGGAGGGTGGTGGACAGACTTACTGGCACTGTAGAGTTGAGTGGCGGAGGGTGGTGGACAGACTTACTGACACTGTAGAGTTGGGTGGTGGACAGACTTACTGGCACTGTAGAGTTGGGTGGGGGAGGGTGGTGGACAGACTTACTGGCACTGTAGAGTTGGGTGGGGGAGGGTGGTGGACAGACTTACTGGCACTGTAGAGTTGGGTGGTGGACAGACTTACTGGCACTGTAGAGTTGGGTGGGGGAGGGTGGCGGACAGACTTACTGGCACTGTAGAGTTGGGTGGCGGAGGGTGGTGGACAGACTTACTGGCACTGTAGAGTTGAGTGGCGGAGGGTGGTGGACAGACTTACTGACACTGTAGAGTTGGGTGGTGGACAGACTTACTGGCACTGTAGAGTTGGGTGGGGGAGGGTGGTGGACAGACTTACTGGCACTGTAGAGTTGGGTGGCGGAGGGTGGTGGACAGACTTACTGACACTGTAGAGTTGGGTGGTGGACAGACTTACTGGCACTGTAGAGTTGGGTGGGGGAGGGTGGTGGACAGACTTACTACACTGTAGAGTTGGGTGGCGGAGGGTGGTGGACAGACTTACTGGCACTGTAGAGTTGGGTGGCGGAGGGTGGTGGACAGACTTACTGACACTGTAGAGTTGGGTGGTGGACAGACTTACTGGCACTGTAGAGTTGGGTGGGGGAGGGTGGTGGACAGACTTACTGGCACTGTAAAGTTGGGTGGCGGAGGGTGGCGGACAGACTTACTTGCACTGTAGAGTTGGGTGGGGGAGGGTGGTGGACAGACTTACTGGCACTGTAGAGTTGGGTGGGGGAGGGTGGTGGACAGACTTACTGGCACTGTAGAGTTGGGTGGCGGAGGGTGGCGGACAGACTTACTGGCACTGTAGAGTTGGGTAGGGGAGGGTGGTGGACAGACTTACTGGCACTGTAGAGTTGGGTGGGGGAGGGTGGTGGACAGACTTACTGGCACTGTAGAGTTGGGTGGGGGAGGGTGGTGGACAGACTTACTGGCACTGTAGAGTTGGGTGGTGGACAGACTTACTGGCACTGTAGAGTTGGGTGGGGGAGGGTGGTGGACAGACTTACTGGCACTGTAGAGTTGGGTGGGGGAGGGTGGTAGACAGACTTACTGGCACTGTAGTGTTGGGTGGGGGAGGGTGGTGGACAGACTTACTGGCACTGTAGAGTTGGGTGGGGGAGGGTGGTGGACAGACTTACTGGCACTGTAGAGTTGGGTGGGGGAGGGTGGTGGACAGACTTACTGGCACTGTAGAGTTGGGTGGGGGAGGGTGGTGGACAGACTTACTGGCACTGTAGAGTTGGGTGGCGGAGGGTGGTGGGTGAGATTCTGCTGGAACCTGTTGGCGCTGCTCGACCAGATGGACAGGGAGAAGTTGGCGGAGACCATGAGGCTGTGGTGGAGGAGCTGTAACATCAGTGTGAGGACGCACAGCGCCACACAGCATGCGCGGAAGTAGTACATGTACACCAGCGCCATCACAGCCCCCTCATCCTTGTGCTCCTTCTTGATCAGCTTCCCAGACTCCTCCTGCATCTCCTCTGAGGAACAACACAGCATGTTATGAGACATTCTAACAATGGCTCGGGGAAATATTCATTCTGATTGCTCATGCTGTTTCAATCAGAGGCGGTTATTGTGATTTGAACCCTGATTTGAACGCTCTGATGTTTATCCACATCATTATCAACACAAACTAGGCCTGAAAACTCCAAGCAGTTAATGGGTTTCGGATTTAGATTACATCCTTATAGTATGGATAGACCTACATCCTTATAGTAGGGAGTCAGGTTTCAAAGACTCACGACATACTACTCAGAAATTGGGAGGGATAATGATATTTCATACTGTTATTAAACAAGAAGAGAGCCGCATATTCAACCAAACTTATTATTAATTTACCTAACATGAAGCTGCACTTGTTTAAGTTCCTTGGCAATATTGTATACTATTCATATGCCAATATCTCTCAGAGGTCAGTCACATTCAATCCCAACAATCTCATTACAAATATCCCTTTTAAAAAATGTGTAGTATATGTGAGGGGAATGACAGTAGCTTGAAGAATGAAAGTCGAGATGGTAGATGATGGCTACTTGCATCCTGGCTGAGCAGCACCGAGCTGAGGTGCGTGTCAGGTGGTACTGACCTTGCTTTGACTTCTCTCCTTCGTCCTCGTCATTCCTGTCTTCGTTACTGGCCTCTGTCATCACGGACATCTGTGACCGTGAGATCTGACGACTGAACACAGTCAGACTGAGGTTGGACTGCAACATGATGGAGGACATGTCAGAATCACACAGGGGCTGCAGGGAACAACACAACCACATCATTCTCATTCATTATTTCTTTGGCCATGACCACTCAAATGCAGATTACCACATGAGGTTGTTGTTTGTTGTTTAATGCCACACCTCTTATGACAAGCATAGTAGCCTTTTACAGCAATCATGGTTTGCTGAAGACCTATGTTCCCCTGGATTTTCACAGGTCATACAAGGTGAACGAAATGTGGTTTAAAGTCTCTTAAAAAATTAGTGTGTGTGTGCGCGTGAGAAAGAGAGTGTGTGTGTGTGAGAGAGAGAGAGAGAGAGAGAGAGAGAGAGAGAGAGTGTTTGTGTGGGAGAGTGTGTGTGTGTGAGAGAGAGTGTGTGTGTGTTGGGGGGGGGGAGCGTGTGTGTGTTTGTGTGTGTGGGAGAGAGTTGGTGTGTGTGAGGGTGTGGGTGTGTGTGTGTGGGTGTGGGTGTGGGTGTGTGTGTGTGTGTGTGTGGGTGGGGGTGGGGGTGTGTGTGTGTGGTAGTGTGTGTGTGGTAGTGTGTGTGTGTGTAGTGTGTGTGTGTGTAGTGTGGGTGTGTGTAGTTGTGTGTGTGTGTGTGTAGTGTGTGTGTGTGTGTGTGTGTGTGTGTAGTTGTGTGTGTGTAGTGTGTGTGTGTGTAGTGTGTGTGTGTGTAGTGTGCGAGTGTGTGTGTGTGAGAGTAGGGGGGGGAGAGAGAGTGTGTGTGGGAGAGAGAGTGTGTGTGGGAGAGAGAGTGTGTGTGGGAGAGAGGCGAGAGTGTGTTTGTTGGAGTGTGTGTGTGTGTGTGGGGGAGAGCGTGGGTTTGTCACTGGACTGTGGGATGCAAAATGGGACGGCTGTTCAAATCAGTAAATTATCCAAAATAGCCCAGGATGCCAGTGGGTGACTGAGATCAACCACAGCAAAACCAAAGCTTCTGTGCATGTGCAGTGATATGACATCAGTGAAACTCTGGGAAATCAGGTGAAGCATGCCACATATTGCCAGCATCGGACCATCGTGTTCATGTCTTTGACCCCAAAAATATATTACCGTATTCGACGTAACAAACGCACAGGGCGCTCTCAAAATTAGAAATAGGAGGCTCTTATTAAAATATTATTTTGGTGGAAAAAACAGAGTTGAAAGATAAATTTCGGGGTTTATGCTGACAGCCTGAAATGTTAATATATGACAGATATATTTTTCCAGAATTTAATTGCCCATAATTAAGGGTGCATATAACACACGAGTGCGTATTATACGTGAATAAATAAATCTTGTGTACATTGATCAATCAGAAGGGGTACTAACTGGGATTGTTCACCAGCAATATATTAGCAAATAACGCCACGGGAGCTTATTAGAGCACGCCGCTTATTATGTTGAATACGGTATACTGATATTCCTTGAATATTGCTGACAGTTGGTGTTAAACAACAAACAAAACACAGGTGTCAGTTTCTCTTTTGCTCTTGATAGTGGGGATCTATTCTGCCCCAGAATCCCCACAAGGGGCAGTTTCTCAAGGTACCTGGACAGACGGGGGTCTCTCAGTCAAGCTCTGTCTCCTGTCTCCCTCCAGGTCCGACTCCTTTGACAATCTGTTAATAGAAAGAAGTCGTCCATGCTATATCAGAACTAAACGTCTACTACAAGCTGGGCTTAAGAATAACTTGTTTGCAGCTTTAAACAACAGACAAGCAAACAACACTCAGAAATATTCCAGCTGTATGACGTCTGTGAATAATTCTACCATGAATTTGGAATTTACCCGATTCTGATTGGTCAATCAGAGGGTATTAAATCACAATAACCCCCTCTGATTGAAAGAGATGGTTTGACGGCTGCATCACCGTGGAAGCTAATATTCATAGGATATTTTAACAATCATATTTACAATTACACAGGTTACAAAATGCACAGATGCGGTTACTACAATATTCAAAGGATGTGTGGCAATACATTTCGAGCAGAAAACATGATAGAAATCTACAAAGGGAATGTATTTATGTTTTGGAGACAAGAGAGAGCTTGAAATTTTGGCGCTTTTCTATATATGACTTTTGCATCACAAGAAGCGATATGATGTCATAATGGTGACGTGCGATGTAGAGCGAAAGCCTTGCAAAGCTTGCTTTGTTTTCTTTAGGGATGCCCACCTCATGTTAGCTTACCAAGTTGCCGTGTTTATATGCTTTCAATGCCTGTCATATGTTTCGAGTGAAGTATTACGATGTAAACAAACTGCTTGAGTACATACAGAGCCATATTTTGTTCGGTGATTCCGTAAATCAGATCGATAACCCACTCAAAACACAGGACTCAACCCATGCCGCTTCACTCAATATATCTGGTAACATCAAAGAGTTCGCGTTTTATTTAGTCATGGTAGAATGGAGATAAACATACTGTGTTTTCAATGTAGAGCTAGGTTACCTGTAGATTTAACCGCTCTAAATTTGACCTTTGAAACCTCATGCTGCGCGTTCAGTTCCAAATTCAATTTAGTGGGGTTAAATCTACAGGTAACCTAGCTCTACATTGAAAACACAGTATGTTTATCTCCTAATTGAATCTGGAAGGGACAATCCAGTGATTGACATCATGACCTTCAATCTACACGATCAACCAAGTCAGTGAGCCTGACGACGAGCATGGGTTGCTGAAGACCTATTCTAACCCAGTTCTTTACGGGTCTTAAAAATCAATATTTAATTTAAATTTACACAGACTTTTCACAACCTTGAAATACATCGCCTTTCTTTATCATATAATTATATCATTTAAAAGGCATATTGATTTCTAGTTTAGAAATCATTCACACTGTTCCTTCTGAATATATTATTATTTGTGTAATGTTTACAGTCCTCGAGTTAGCCATAACAAAATGCACCAGTGCAACTTTTTACTTAAAGATGCAACATAACATCTACAAGTGCAGGTCCAAAAAATTCAAATGTGCGCCTGACCGACCCTTACTTGTCCACACAACATCAATCGTTGACCATACTATTATCATCACTAACCTTATGTCATGTGTAATTCATGACACAGTCATCACAGATTTTACATATTTGGACTAGTTGATGCATCAACTTTGATAAATTTATGGGACCAGTAAGCAGACTATCTCAGATTTCACTGTACTTTCATCCCTCACCAAGGGCAGTAGTAGGACTTACTTCACGTCAGTAGGCTTTGCATCTTTTAAGGCCTTCTTCCAAGAGTCGTAGAGATCCTGGTCGTACTTCTTGACATCTCCAGGCCGACCCTGGTACACAATCTCCCCCTCCTTCATCACGATCACCTGGACAACACAAACCTGGGGTCTCACAAAGTAAAAGTTTTACAAAAAAGCCATTTTCCAGTTTCGCCAAATGGGTCTGTTTATTGTGATGTCCCTTTGCAAAACCATGTAACCATAGACACATTGTCAAAACATCTAACAAGAATGAGTGTGGCATACCAATGTTAAATATACATTTAAGTGTAAATATAAAATAATTTTTATTCATATAACAGTTAAAACCGAAAACAGTTGAAAATCTGGTTGTGCGAACATTGACATTGTTGACCGAGGTTGAACTACACTTGACACTTGACTGTTGCAACCTGACTGACACATCCAATATACTGCAGCTGTATTACCTAACTGACACATCCAATATACTGCAGCTATATAACCTAACTGACACATCCAATATACTGCAGCTGTATAACCTGACTGACACATCCAATATACTGCTGCTGTATAACCTGACTGACACATCCAATATACTGCAGCTGTATAACCTGACTGACACATCCAATATACTGCTGCTGTATAACCTGACTGACACATCCAATATACTGCAGCTGTATTACCTAACTGACACATCCAATATACTGCAGCTATATTACCTAACTGATACATCCAATATACTGCAGCTATATAACCTGACTGACACATCCAATATACTGCTGCTGTATAACCTGACTGACACATCCAATATATTGCAGCTGCATAACGTAACTAACACATCCAATATAATGCAGCTGTATTACCTGACTGACACATTCAATATACTGCAGCTGTATTAAATGACAGACACATTCAATATACTGCTGCTGTATAACTTGACTGACACATCTTGTATACTGCAGCTGTATAATTTGACTGACACATCCAATATAATGCAGCTGTATTACCTGACTGGCTTGTCCAATATACTACAGCTGTATTTCCTGACTGGCTTATCCAAAATACTGCAGCTGTATTACCTGACTGGCTTGTCCAATATACTACAGCTGTATTACCTGACTGGCTTGTCCAATATACTGCAGCTGTATTACCTGACTGGCTTGTCCAATATACTGCAGTTGGTGCGTCACAAGGATCACGGACCGCTTTCTCCGCAACAAACGCCGCTGTATTGCCTCCTCGAACACATGGCGTCCCACATGAGCATCCAGTGCCGAGAACGGGTCGTCCTGGACATGAAAGGAAGAAACTTTCAGGACATGAAATTAAATTGTTTAACTCAGCAACATTGCAGCTAAATGACGGCGGTCCAAATGTAATCGAGTCTGTGTTCTGACTAATGTGTTCAAAATGTGTTCTGACTAATGTGTTCAACATGTGTTCGGACTAATGGGTTCAACATGTGTTCGGACTAATGGGTTCAACATGTGTTCGGACTAATGGGTTCAACATGTGTTCGGACTAATGGGTTCAACATGTGTTCTGACGAATGGATTCTGATTAATGGGTTCAACATGTGTTTTGACTGATGGGTTCTGACTAATGGGTTCAACATGTGTTCGGACAAATGGGTTCAACATGTGTTCTGAAGCATGTGTTCAACATGTGTTCGGACTAATGGGTTCAACATGTGTTCGGACCAATGGGTTCAACATGTGTTCTGAAGCATGTGTTCAACATGTGTTCGGACTAATGGGTTCAACATGTGTTCGGACTAATGGGTTCAACATGTGTTCTGACGCATGTGTTCAACATGTGTTCGGACTAATGGGTTCAACATGTGTTCGGACTAATGGGTTCAACATGTGTTCTGACGAATGTGTTCAACATGTGTTCGGATTAATTGGTTCAACATGTGTTCGGACTATTTGGTTCAACATGTGTTCGGACTAATGGGTTCAACGTGTTCGGACTAATGGGTTCAATATGTGTTCGAACAAATGGGTTCAACATGTGTTCTGACGAATGGGTTCTGATTTATGGGTTCAACATGTGTTTTGACTGATTGGTTCTGACTAATGGGTTCAACATGTGTTCGGACTAATGGGTTCAACATGTGTTCTGACGAATGTGTTCTGATTTATGGGTTCAACATGTGTTTTGACTGATGGGTTCTGACTAATGGGTTCAACATGTGTTCGGACTAATGTGTTCAACATGTGTTCTGACTAATGTCGTCCACTCACCAGGATGACGGCGTCCGCGTCGGAGTAGATGGCCCGGGCAAGACACACCCTCTGCTTCTGACCCCCACTCAATGTGACGCCCTGCAAGACACAGGTATTCATAGAAACCACACCTTTCTCTGTGTACAGATATTTCATTATCAAATTGCCACTGTGGAAGGAAGTACACTTGAGATCCATCGAGTCGCCTCTTGTGACAAGCTAAGGTTGCTGGGGACCTTTATTCTAACATGGAATCCCCTCCGGCAAAATGCAGTATGAGAAACAAACTATCCACCATGTTTGTTTGATGCTACTAATAAAGCTGCAAAAACAAAAAACACAAAAAATGGTGTCTGAAACCGTTGCTAAAGAAGGAGCGTGTATACATCCCTTACAAAAATGGCAGGACGTGTCTGCTATACTGCATCTTCTCTCTGAACTTTGTAATTCACAGAGGTACTAGAGAGTTCATGTCACATGACATATCAACACTACCTTCTCCGCAATCTCTGTAAGATCTCCAGCAACAAGAATGTCAATGTTACATGACATAACAAACACTTCCTTCTCCCCGATCCCTGTAAGATCTCCAGCTACAAGAATGTCAATGTTACATGACATAACAAACACTACCTTCTCCCTGATCCCTGTAAGATCTCCAGCTACGAGAGTGTCAATGTTACAAGACATAACAAACACTTCCTTCTCCGCAATCTCTGTGAGATCTCCAGCAACAAGAATGTCAATGTTACATGACATAACAAACACTTCCTTCTCCCCAATCTCGGTAAGATCTCCAGCTACAAGAATGTCAATGTTACATGACATATCAAACACTACCTTCTCACCAATCTCTGTAAGATCTCCAGCTACAAGAATGTCAGTGTTACATGACATATCAAACACTACCTTCTCACCAATCTCTGTAAGATCTCCAGCTACAAGAATGTCAATGTTACATGACATAACAAACACTACCTTCTCCCCGATCTCTCTAAGATCTCCGGCTACGAGAGTGTCAATGTTACATGACATAACAAACACTACCTTCTCCGCAATCTCTGTAAGATCTCCAGCTACAAGAATGTCAATGTTACATGACATAACAAACACTTCCTTCTCCCTGATCCCTGTAAGATCTCCAGCTACAAGAATGTCAATGTTACATGACATAACAAACACTTCCTTCTCCCTGATCCCTGTAAGTTCTCCAGCTACGAGAGTGTCAATGTTACATGACATATCAATCAATACCTTCCCCCGATCTCTCTAAGATCTCCAGCTACGAGAATATCAATGTTACATGACATAACAAACACTACCTTCTCCCCGATCTCTGTGAAATCTCCAGGAACAAGAATGTCAATGTTACAAGACATAACAAACACTACCTTCTCCCCGATCTCTGTAAGATCTCCAGCTACAAGAATGTCAATGTTACATGACATAACAAACACTACCTTCTCCCCGATCCCTGTAAGATCTCCAGCTACAAGAATGTCAATGTTACATGACATAACAAACACTACCTTCTCCCCGATCTCTGTAAGATCTCCGGCTACGAGAGTGTCAATGTTACATGACATATCAAACACTACCTTCTCCCCGATCTCTGTAAGATCTCCGGCTACGAGTGTGTCAATGTTACATGACATATCAAACACTACCTTCTCACCAATCTCTGTAAGATCTCCGGCTACGAGAGTGTCAATGTTACATGACATATCAAACACTACCTTCTCCCCGATCTCTGTAAGATCTCCGGCTACGAGAGTGTCAATGTTACATGACATATCAAACACTACCTTCTCCCCGATCTCTGTAAGATCTCCAGCTACGAGAGTGTCAATGTTACATGACATATCAAACACTACCTTCTCACCAATCTCTGTAAGTTCTCCAGCTACGAGAGTGTCAATGTTACATGACATATCAATCACTACCTTCCCCCGATCTCTCTAAGATCTCCAGCTACAAGAATGTCAATGTTACATGACATAACAAACACTACCTTCTCCCCGATCTCTGTAAGATCTCCGGCTACGAGAGTGTCAATGTTACATGACATATCAAACACTACCTTCTCCCCGATCTCTGTAAGATCTCCGGCTACGAGAGTGTCAATGTTACATGACATATCAAACACTACCTTCTCACCAATCTCTGTAAGATCTCCAGCTACGAGAGTGTCAATGTTACATGACATATCAAACACTACCTTCTCACCAATCTCTGTAAGTTCTCCAGCTACGAGAGTGTCAATGTTACATGACATATCAATCACTACCTTCCCCCGATCTCTCTAAGATCTCCAGCTACAAGAATGTCAATGTTACATGACATAACAAACACTACCTTCTCCCCGATCTCTGTAAGATCTCCAGCTACAAGAATGTCAATGTTACATGACATATCAAACACTACCTTCTCCCTGATCCCTGTAAGATCTCCAGCTACAAGAATGTCAATGTTACATGACATAACAAACACTACCTTCTCCCCGATCTCTGTAAGATCTCCGGCTACGAGAGTGTCAATGTTACATGACATATCAAACACTACCTTCTCCCCGATCTCTGTAAGATCTCCGGCTACGAGAATGTCAATGTTACATGACATATCAAACACTACCTTCTCACCAATCTCTGTAAGATCTCCAGCTACGAGAGTGTCAATGTTACATGACATATCAAACACTACCTTCTCCCCAATCTCTGTAAGTTCTCCAGCTACGAGAGTGTCAATGTTACATGACATATCAATCACTACCTTCCCCCGATCTCTCTAAGATCTCCAGCTACAAGAATGTCAATGTTACATGACATAACAAACACTACCTTCTCCCCGATCTCTGTGAAATCTCCAGCAACAAGAATGTCAATGTTACAAGACATAACAAACACTTCCTTCTCCCCGATCTCTGTAAGATCTCCAGCAACAAGAATGTCAATGTTACATGACATAACAAACACTACCGTCTCCCCGATCTCTGTAAGATCTCCAGCAACAACAATGTTAATGTTACATGACATAACAAACACTACCTTCTCCCCGATCTCTGTAAGATCTCCAGCTACAAGAATATCAATGTTACATGACATAACAAACACTACCTTCTCCCCAATCTCTGTAAGATCTCCAGCTACAAGAATATCAATGTTACATGACATAACAAACACTACCTTCTCCCCAATCTCTGTAAGATCTCCAGCTACAAGAATGTCAATGTTACATGACATATCAAACACCACCTTCTCCCCGATCTCTGTAAGATCTCCAGCTACAAGAATGTCAATGTTACATGACATAACAAACACTACCTTCTCCCCAATTTCTGTAAGATCTCCAGCTACAAGAATGTCAATGTTACATGACATATCAAACACTACCTTCTCACCAATCTCTGTAAGATCTCCAGCTACGAGAGTGTCAATGTTACATGACATATCAAACACTACCTTCTCACCAATCTCTGTAAGTTCTCCAGCTACGAGAGTGTCAATGTTACATGACATATCAATCACTACCTTCCCCCGATCTCTCTAAGATCTCCAGCTACAAGAATGTCAATGTTACATGACATAACAAACACTACCTTCTCCCCGATCTCTGTGAAATCTCCAGCAACAAGAATGTCAATGTTACAAGACATAACAAACACTTCCTTCTCCCCGATCTCTGTAAGATCTCCAGCAACAAGAATGTCAATGTTACATGACATAACAAACACTACCGTCTCCCCGATCTCTGTAAGATCTCCAGCAACAAGAATGTTAATGTTACATGACATAACAAACACTACCTTCTCCCCGATCTCTGTAAGATCTCCAGCTACAAGAATATCAATGTTACATGACATAACAAACACTACCTTCTCCCCAATCTCTGTAAGATCTCCAGCTACAAGAATATCAATGTTACATGACATAACAAACACTACCTTCTCCCCAATCTCTGTAAGATCTCCAGCTACAAGAATGTCAATGTTACATGACATATCAAACACCACCTTCTCCCCGATCTCTGTAAGATCTCCAGCTACAAGAATGTCAATGTTACATGACATAACAAACACTACCTTCTCCCCAATTTCTGTAAGATCTCCAGCTACAAGAATGTCAATGTTACATGACATATCAAACTCTACCTTCTCCCAGATCTCTGTAAGATCTGGAGCTACAAGAATGTCAATGTTACATGACATAACAAACACTTCCTTCTCCCCAATCTCTGTAAGATCTCCAGCTACAAGAATGTCAATGTTACATGACATAGCAAACACTACCTTCTCCCCGATTTCTGTGAGATCTCCAGCTACAAGAATGTCAATGTTACATGACATATCAAACACTACCTTCTCCCCGATCTCTGAAACATCTCCAGCTACAAGAATGTCAATGTTACATGATATAACAAACACTACCTTCTCTCCAATCTCTGTAAGATCTCCAGCTACAAGAATGTCAATGTTACATGACATATCAAACACCACCTTCTCCCCGATCTCTGTAAGATCTCCAGCTACGAGAGTGTCAATGTTACATGACATAACAAACACTTCCTTCTCCCTGATCCCTGTAAGATCTCCAACTACAAGAATGTCAATGTTACATGACATAACAAACACTACCTTCTCCCCAATCTCTGTAAGATCTCCAGCTACAAGAATGTCAATGTTACATGACATATCAAACACTACCTTCTCCCCGATCTCTGTAAGATCTCCAGCTACGAGAGTGTCAATGTTACATGACATAACAAACACTACCTTCTCCCTGATCCCTGTAAGATCTCCAACTACAAGAATGTCAATGTTACATGACATAACAAACACTACCTTCTCCCCGATCTCTGTGAGATCTCCAGCTACAAGAATGTCAATGTTACATGACATAACAAACACTTCCTTCACCCTGATCCCTGTAAGATCTCCAGCTACAAGAATGTCAATGTTACATGACATAACAAACACTACCTTCTCCCCGATCTCTGTAAGATCTCCAGCTACAAGAATGTCAATGTTACATGACATAACAAACACTACCTTCTCCCTGATCCCTGTAAGATCTCCAGCTACGAGAGTGTCAATGTTACATGACATAACAAACACTACCTTCTCCCCAATCTCTGTAAGATCTCCAGCTACGAGAGTGTAAGTGTTACATGATATATCAAACACTACCTTCTCCCTGATCCCTGTAAGATCTCCAGCTACGAGAGTGTCAGTGTTACATGACATATCAAACACTACCTTCTCCCAAATCTCTGTAAGATCTCCAGCAACAAGAATGTCAATGTTACATGACATATCAAACACTACCTTCTCCCTGATCCCTGTAAGATCTCCAGCTACGAGAGTGTCAATGTTACATGACATAACAAACACTACCTTCTCCCCGATCTCTGTAAGATCTCCAGCTACAAGAATGTCAATGTTACATGACATAACAAACACTACCTTCTCCCTGATCCCTGTAAGATCTCCAGCTACGAGAGTGTCAATGTTACATGACATAACAAACACTACCTTCTCCCCAATCTCTGTAAGATCTCCAGCTACAAGAATGTCAATGTTACATGACATATCAAACACCACCTTCTCCCCGATCTCTGTAAGATCTCCAGCTACGAGAGTGTCAATGTTACATGACATAACAAACACTACCTTCTCCCCGATCTCTGTAAGATCTCCAGCTACGAGTGTGTCCATGTCTTGTTGAAGGGCACAGGCTGACATCACCTTCTTGTATCTGCAACACAACATAAACACATACAGAAAGGTATCTATCTATATCTATAATACATATTGCAGTTGTAATATCTTAGATGCAGAATGAATAAATAGGCACATCAGATGGAACATATATCACAAAATGCTCCCTCAAGACTATAATTTTGTAGAATTTTCCTATTCGGAATATTCTATAAGTAATACGTTACCACTGTTATACCGAGGCTGTTGTCTCCCACAACTGCTGCTATAGCGAAATCTACCACAGAGATCTCAATTACCTCATGCAGCACGTGTGTAGCCACCTAGCTGCCATGTGACACCCTTCACTCTTGTCTCTTGCGAGAGCAAGTGCTCGGGGGACGGACGGGCGGGCAGCAGCCCAGTGGTAACGTATTACTTATAGAATATTCCGAATAGGAAAATTCTACAAATTACATTAAGTAATACGTTACCACTGTTATACCGAGGCTGACTACCACAGTAGGGGGTGGGGAGCACCTACAACCCGAATCCTGACTGCTAGCGTTCCTTCCGACCAGCGGAAGTAAACACCAAGGCGGAAGCACTCGATGCGCATGCACCTAGCTAGGCGTTACCCTATAGGAATACCAAAGCACTGTCAAGCGCGATTGGTGACTCCAAACGGCCCCACTGGATAGGTATTTCATCGCCTCAGCGGATGAGAACACTGTATCCGCGTGAGCTTAATCTTAGATCAGGTTAAACAGTCGAAAAGAGGGAAATTAATTTCATTCAGACCGTATATCCCAGAGCAAGCCTACTTAAAGTATGCATTAGGCGCGTGACCTAATTCCAGTATTTGTAAGCATGCATCACAAGGTTGGGATACACGACAGACAATTAAATACATAATTGTCAAAATACAAATAAGGACAAAGCACACAAAAAGCCGCCCTCACCTGTGGTGTGAGTGCGCTGGTTTGCGGGACCCCAACTCCTGTACCCACGGCAGTGGGAACATTGGAGTCGACCCAGATTGACCACCGTGCAAGGTCAGACGCCTGAGGAGTTCAGAATTGCGCTGGGCACACCCCTTAGGTGCCCGCTTGCGCCGCGATCCGCGGGCCAAGACGGTGCACACTCTCCACGACGGCATCAGCGACCTGTTTGAGGTAATGATTGGCAAAAACCGAGTCAGAACGCCAGTAACAACCTCGTAATATTCTGCGAACAGAGATATTCGAGTGTAGGGCAAATGTTGCCGCTAGCGCCCTGATCTCGTGCGGGTTTGACTCCGCTACCGGTAACCCCCGAGACCGGTACGCCAGATTGATGACAGAACGAAGCCACAACGCAATCGAGTTGCGAGTTATGTCAACCGTGCGATTAGGGTTACACGATATGAACAGACGGTCACGCCCTTGTCTCTTTTATTCGAAGCCTTAAGATAATACTTAAGGGCCCTAACCGGACACAGCGCTCTGTCCTCAGTATCAGCAGGATGTAAGATTTCTTTGAGTGATCTTACAGTGAATTCTCTCTCTGTTTGCCCGACTCTCTGATTCTTGGCGACGAAGCCCATGAGCAGGCCCAGGCGGACCGCTCCTTCGTCACCCCTATCGAATCGTACCTTGGCGACATCGAGTGCATGAATTTCGGATACACGTGCCGCCGTGGCAAAGGAGAGGAGAAATGCTGTTTTCCAAGTCACATGCCGGAACGAAGCACTATGCAAGGGTTCATACGGAGCTTCCGTAAGTGATTGCAACACTAGGGAAAGATCCCAGGCCGGTGCCCGAAGGCGGCCCTTCTTAAGATCGTGCTGTTTGAAACCCTTGATAATACCCCATATCACCGGCTCTTTGGAGAGACTGGTACCCATAGCAACGTCCCGTACCGTAGCAACGGACGAGACATAGTTGGCAATGGAACCCCCGGAGAGTTTTTCGGGTCTCTCGCAAGTGAGACATGAAACGAGCAATATCCTGCACAGATACCTTATCTGGCGAATGAATGTGATGTGTACAACACCACTTCGTGAAAATAACCCAACGTGCATTATACACCTTCTGGGTAGAATCACGATGCATACTAACGTATGCCCGAGACGCCCGGCGAGAAAAACCTTTACTCCTCAGACACTCGGTGACAACATCCACGCGTGCAGATTGAACTGCCCTGCGTTTGGACGAAGCTGACGGGTGTGAGGGTGGATCAAGAGATCCGGTCTCACAGGCAGTGGGAGTGGCGACTGCGTGACCTGGGTCAGCAAGTCGGGGTACCACGATCTGTTCGGCCACATGGGCGCGATCAGTAACATTCGACAGCGAACTCCTCGGAGCCGGCTTAGAATGTGTGATATCAACGCTGTCGGCGGGTAAGCATAAGCGTCCAAGCCCTTCCAGTCTAACGCGAGAGCATCGTGAACGATGGCCCTCGGGTCCGGGACTGGTGATACAAACAACGGGAGTTGATTGTTGAACCGCGTTGCGAACAGGTCGACCATCGGACGACCCAAACGTTCGCACAGCCACTGAAACACTACTGGGTTCAGCATCCACTCTGTGGGGCTCGGTTCCTGAGGCCTCGATAGAGCATCGGCCAGTACGTTCCGCACACCTGGGATGTGACGGGCGTGTATCTGGCACGGGACACTGTCCACCAGAGCGTAAAACTCGAACGTGAGATCGAGTAGCGAGTGACTGTGGGTTCCCCCCAGTTTGTTCACATAGGACACTACCGTCGTGTTGTCGGTCGCCAGCATGAGCCGGGCGTCGACGAGGCGATGCTTCCAGTGATTGACTGCGTTGATCACTGCCTTGAACTCGAGACAATTGATGTGAAGACCTAGTTCGTCTACGCACCACAGCCCCGAGCTCACCTCCCCCTCTAGATGGGCGCCCCAGCCCACTAGAGAGGCGTCTGTATACAGGTTCAACATGGCCCGGTAGGGCCGCATAGAGACTCCTGATAAGACATTGTAAGGGACCGTCCACCACTCCAGATGCGGTCGGAGCCGATCCGGGAGGGCGACGGTCGCACTGTTCACCTCCGTTGCTAACAACTGGATTAAAAACCGTTGCAGCGGGCGGAGTTGGAGACGACCCCGTTCGGTGCAGTCCTGGGCTGATACAAGTAGCCCTAACAGCTGTTCCCAAAAGTGAACAGTCTGTTGCACCGCTAAGACTTTGGCAATCATCGCCTGAATCTTGTGCCACCGGTCTGGGGGGACAAAGAGGCGATGGGACACCGTGTTGAACCGACCTCCGATGAACAGCAAGTTCTGAGAAGGGGTTAACTCGCTCTTGGGGAGATTGATAATCCACCCCAATTGCTCCAAGAGCCGACGTGCGAAAACGAGATGGCGTGACAGGGTGTCCGTCATTCGATTTGCTACTAGCGAGTCGTCCAGTAACGCGAAGTACCGGACACCCCTCCTGTGGAGGAACCCCACTATGGGGGTGGTTAACCGGGTGAACAGCCAGGGAGCGGACGTGTGAGTTCGGCACTGTCCTACTTGGGAACGAGAAATATCCTGGAGTAAAACCCCGGTGTTATTTCTGGTAGAGCTAACTCCCGTACTGCCCCTTCTCCACCAACCTGCCAATGGCATCGGAGAGGATGAGAAGATCGGTTTCCGAATCGAAACCTGCCAACGGGGCAACGGTGAGCGGCGGATTTGCTTTGAGATCAAGCCGATAGCCGTACCGAATCGTGCTGACCACCCACGGGTCGTCGAACACTTGTTCCCAATTCTCCCAGTAAGTCTGGAGTCTGGCTCCCACTGGGGAAGGAGAGGGGGCCCTGACAGGCTGCCGCAGGCGCAACTGTCCAGGGCCAAGTGACTCGGGTTCGCCTAAGGGCCAACCAAAGTTGGCGCTGTCGGCATACGAACCCCTCCAATGAAAGTCACCTGGAGGGGCCCTTGCCGTCCGTCGACGACTTGGGCTTCCCCCAGTTCCCCGTCTTCCCGCGAAAGGGCAGCTGATTGCCCATACCGGAGCCCTCAGGGCGGGGCTACTTCCCAGAGGAAGAAGAACCCGACCCCTTAGACCTACCGGCTGCAGCAGCCTGGGGCGCGCTCCGGTTAGGAGCGGCACCCAGGTGCCTATGCAGGGACCCAACAAGAGCAAGTGTGTGCCGAGAGTCCTCGGCAACGTACTCCAGGGAAGCATTTAAACTGAGCAGGCAGTTGTAAATGCGCTGGTCACGGTCCGTGGGAGAACCTTCGACCAGACGGGCCGCTGCAGCCAAGTAAGTGTCTCCGTGAGACATGGAGTGCCGAGCGAGGGCGTCCACTGAAGTGGCCGGGGACGGAACAACCAGCGGCCTATCCGGAGATAAGGCCGCCAGCTTGGAGTCCACAAGTAATGCAAGTAATGCAGCGACGGAAACCCCGGACAGCCCACGGGCCGCCAAGGGATCCGCCGCAGCCGTGGTGGTGGTACCCGCAAGGGGACCCCGACCGGACGAGCCGGCCACCACAGGGGTGGAAACGGACTGCACATACAGCCGGTAGCGCTCGCTTGCGGCACACCCCGCAGCTCCTGGTTGCGGGGGTAGAGGGGGTGGAGGACGGCGAAACATCCATGTCAGACATTTTGTTTGTACTATGAACAAAGAGCAAAACATGGTTACAACACACGCACCACAAATAGTCACAAACGAGTATTTTCACAAGAAAATAAACGAGCAATGGGAATATAGAACATACACATATAACATATAGAGGAATAAGTGATGTAAAAAACCCAAGATATACTAGAACAGGGGAACGAAAGACGCAACGTGCATACGAGACACCCCGCAAGTATATAGAAAAAAAGGGCGGGAAAAATATTTCCTTTTGGCGGGAAAAATATTTCCAAGCGTAGTTACAGCAAACGCCCCGTAAAAGCACAGTTTATTAGAGAGAATAAACAGTAATAAATATCACCGAATGGTCGGAGAAACAGGAACGCTTGAGCAGTTTATTGTACGTCTTGCTAGAGCAAGCGAAGAGACAAGAGTGAAGGGTGTCACATGGCAGCTAGGTGGCTACGCACGTGCTGCATGAGGTAATTGAGATCTCTGTGGTAGATTTCGCTATAGCAGCAGTTGTGGGAGACAACAGCCTTGGTATAACAGTGGTAACGTATTACTTAATGTAATAAGAACTGACTTTCACTTTGTGTGAGTTCATTGGAGTACGAACCGTCATAGAGTGAGGGACAAACTTTATGAACGTCGGAGCTTACTAAACATCCCCTACTAAGACCAAAACTTTACATGAGATCTGATTGGTCCGCGTGATGTTGATAAAATACTGGGACTGAAATAAATTTCTGAGAGGGAGAATAAATCTTTTATACACCACCATGAAGAAAACAGGCTGCATGTGGATTTCTCAGCGGGAGAATAAATCCCTTATACCCTGTTTTGAAGCAAGAAGCCGCATGCTTTCCACCCCACCCACCCCTCCCCGAGTCAATGAAAGTCACATGACAAGTTAACCTCAGCTAAATCGAACAGCTGTTTTCTATCAATTATTAATTTGTTTTAATTCTTTCACAATTTCATTTCGGTGAGATAAATTCACTGTAGCAATATCACTCGGGGTACATTTCTCTTGATATTAAACCTGACGCAGGATGCATAAAACCCCATGTACCCCTTATGATCGGGCTATAACTTCTATATTAGCTAAAATGGATAGAATTATCATTAAACCGCCCGCATGTTATCAGAAATCAGCGGGCCACTGTAACTTGATAATGCCCTCATATTGCTTGACGAGGGGCCATTATCATGCACGTTTTTAGGTGACGTCATAGGGTAGGGGTAGGTGACGTCACGTTCAATAGTGACATCATCTGGTTTGTTCTGTGACGTTTCCATATTTGTAAAAGTTGGTCAGTGACATTTGTGTTCATTGCAGTAAATGTTGAAAAAACGATATTGTTGTTTCTTTTTATTTGATAACAAATTCTATCCATTTGAGCTATAATAACGGTAGCGCTATTTCTCAGGGCATTATCATTTGCAGAAGCGCTCAGTCTTTTCAACTTCCCTCCCTCGTCGGGCAGTTAATGGAAAACCTCAGGCTTGTGCAAATGATAATGCCCTGAAATATAGCGTTACCCTTATATTATCAGAATAGTTTTAGTTTCATGACCATTTGAAGTATGTTTGTTCACTATCACTCAATCTCTGAAAATAAAGTTAACTCTTTCTCCATGGTTTTAATAAGTGTCCAGATTTTCTAAGTCCCCAGGGTGCTCTTTACAGGGAATATGGTAATTTATTTTAGACTTTCCAAAGAATATGCTACTGAACCTGCCAACTTGGTCAAGGAAAGTACCAGGTTCACTGTCAGTTTACACCATGGCCGTACCTTCTCCAGATGAAGGGGTTGCCGAATAAGACATTGTCCCTGACCGATGCATTAAGCAGCCATGCCCTCTGTGGAGCATATGATATCCCAGTGTCTCTGAAATAGCAATAAATGAGGTGAGGTGAAATTGGGTTTAATGTCGCGTCCAAAATTATTGCACTCATATAGCATGCATCTGTGCGTGTGTGTGTGTGTGTCCGGACTGATGCCGATTTACAGTGCTAGCACACTGAGATACCATGCCGCTGTTGAACATGAATACTCCACTCAGACACAGTATACTGACTCCGAGCCTGACTTTTAGCAATATTCCAGCAGTATCCCTGCGAGGGACACCAGAAATGGGCTTCCCACTTTGTACCCATGTCGTGAATCGAACCCGGGTCTTCAGCGTGACGAGTGAATGCTTTTTTAACCACAAGGCTAAACCACCACCCAATATCCATGATAGGTTTATAACAGGAGTGAAATCAGCAGACATCTGGACCATTCTGTTGGTAGCCCACTAAGCGTTTGCTCTCCACACCAAAGACCCAGTTTTATTCAAAATATGGGCACAAAATGTGAAGTCAATTTCTGGAATACATAACAGTGATAGATATATGGCGGGTAAATTTTCTAGAAGCTGCATGAAACTAAACTCACTCACTCACTCTCACCCATGCATCCCAAAACCCGAGAAACCACTCACTCACTCACCTGGACCACTCCACTATGCCTGATGCAGTGACCATTTCCCCCAACATGGCCGCCAGCAGAGATGACTTCCCTGACCCGACAGGCCCCACTATCACTGTCAACTTCCCTGTGGGGATCTTCAGACTGATATTCTTCAGGGAGAGAGCAGAGCGGTCCAGCTCCCAGCTGAAGTTAGCCTGGGATATTTCAAGCACTGTGCGCAGCTCAATCAACAGGCATTCATCAGCAAATTCATCCTCATCCTCTGTGGAAAAGCCGCTGTGATTCCGCTTCCGCCTGCGATCAGCGGTGGTTTCCGTGTGTGATCCGATGACCGGCGCGCTCGTCTTGCGTACCAGAGCTAATGGTTTAACATCCAGATAGTCAGAGCTGGTGTTGTGGGTGAGGCTGAGACGCTTGTTGTCGAATATGTCCATCAAAGAAGCTCCGCTGTTCTGCCTGCTGTGTCCCGGGGTGTGGGAGATGTGACTCCCTAGGGAACTCATACTGCTGCAGAATGCCTCGTCCTTCGTCAGGGTTGTCAGGGGTAGGCCCGTCTGGGCATCATACTGCACCATTGAGTCCTGCTTGGCCTGTACAAAATACAGCCTTGTCAGCAGAAAGGACTATCCACATGGGATGGATGGATGGATGGAGGATGGTTGTTGAATGGATGGATGATGGATGGGTGGTACTAACGTGGGAAGAATTGATGTATGTATGGATGGATGTATGGTACTCACATGAGATGGATGGATGGATGGACGGACAGACGGATGGTTCTCACATGGGATGGATGGATGGTACTCACATGGGATGGATGGATGATGGATGATGGATACATGACACTATTCACAATGTATGGACAAGGAAACATCCAACTGTTAAAATTATACATAACAAAAGTCGGAAACAAAAATATTGCAAATATTCTCAACATGGATCACATCTCTATTCCCCTCCACCATCAAGGACAACACCTACCTCCTCCTCTGCAGTGTCTATGCCAATGTTGTGTGTCTTCGTCTTGTTGTTGCCAGTGATGTGAGGGCCCTCTACTTCCTGTGACAGCAGGTAGGGCACGAGTCGGGCACCGCTCACCTTGGCGTTGGCAAACGATGCAGCAAATATGGTGAGCAGCTGGAGAGGACTGGACAGCATGTTGAAGAGTGCCAGAGTGGAAAAGGTGCGGCCAGCTGTCAGGGGCTCCGTTTCCAAGTATGGGTAGATGATAAATGTCTACAAAATATAAACATAAATTGTCAATGCAAGAGAATGCCCAGTACTCCTGCCATGTAAATACAAGACAATCAAGTGATCAGTGAAGCAGAGAATCCAGTGACACATTAGTGCATTTACTGATATTGTTGAAACTAATAAAAACGATACATTGATTTTGAATTACGTCTGCAGCTGTACAAGTGCAGAGATACTGCTGCTTGTAAGTAAAGAATAACGTTTTAGAAATATATTTGTTTTGCAACACAGTGGGGGACAGTTTTCATGTCTCAGCCCAAACATTTCTCTGTAGTTGACTACAAAACATCCACAGATTAACTTCTGTATCACAGTAATTATATTGACAAGAAAATAGTCCACAACTTATATAGTTTTGTTTCTTTGTTTTCTGCCACAGTCAGCAATATTCCAGGAATGGTGCCATTTTTATTCCTAATGTATGATATTTTGGATACAAAAAAAACAAAAAACACTCGTCTAATAATCTCTACATACCATGCAAAAATTAAGTGTTCCTTATTATTGTGACTGGGCTGCTTACCAATATTGCCCCAACAGCCGGAGCAGCCATTCCAAGAAATCCTGAAAGAACAACAGCATTTTATTTAGTTATCAAAACAAGAGGACAAAGTCATTGATATCCCCCTCAATTTTAACTACTTGTCATCAATAAGTCAACTAGTTATAGGGATTGCACAAATTCCTGCATTTTCTGTCTTAGTCAAAGTTGTTGCAATGGAAACACCAAAAATTAATTCTTCAAAACTCCCAAACAACAAAAAGGCATAAGTTCACCACTAGACCTATCAGTGTGCCAAATTTTTCTTTTACATTAATGAGGGTAATGATATTCTCTTTATATTTAGATCTGTAAAATTTCATATGAAATATGTATGAATTTTGACATTTAAGTAAGAACTGATGGTATCATAAATAACTCTAGCCACTGATAAAACTTGCAGTCATACAAACAAAACAGACAGGTCTAGTCCTGATGAATAGTGTACCTCTCCTGATAATATACCACATGACAATAACTTTTCAATGAGAACCTAGTCATATGACCAATACTGACCAATGAGCCCCTGATGAGTCATATGACCAATACTGACCAATGAGCCCCCTGATGAAAGTCACATGACCAGTACTGACCAATGAGCCCCCTGACGAAAGTCACATGACCAGCACTGACCAATGAGCCCCCTGACGAAAGTCACATGACCAATACTGACCAATGAGCCCCTGACGAATGTCACATGACCAGTACTGACCAATGAGCCCCCTGATGACAAGTAGAGGGAAGAGGAGGTGCAGCTCCTTCTGCCTGGACTCTGTGACACTGCGAGTGAAGATGTCCTCCCACGCCAGCAGCTTGATGGACTTGATGCCCTGCAGCATCTCATTCACCTTCTTCACCCGACTGTCTGACTGAACCTGGCCACAAACAAAAGGTACATCTTCCCAAACCATCCTCAACTACCACTTTAAAGGACTAATCTGCATTCTTCTGTAAGATTTGTTAACATGCTATGTTTGGTGTTACATGCTGACAAAAGTCAAAACTCATGGTCTGCATGTATATAATCAGCATCCCCCTCTCCATCGCTGCACTTATGGGGAAAGTGTGCATTAGGAAAATACAGTATCCAGTGTGTTATACCTCCAGTTTAAATGGACAAATACCTGGACCTATTCACTACCATAGCTTCACTGGATAACCAGGAATGATGTCAACTTCAGACAAATTTGAAATATTTGAACTTGCAGTGAACATAACAATTGATATTTCACTGCAGTGAACATAACTCTTTGACGAAACTATTGTCATACAAGAGTGACCTCCCTCAAATTGTCTCCCTTTATCGTAAGTGTCCAGCAGGTACACGAACTGTTGACTTCCTTTTTGTTCGTTCCACATTGACAAGGCAAAATAATGACAGATGGTCATTGGTGAAGTTGACATCGCTTCATGCCCTTTCTTATTCTCTTGAAAATGATTCGTTATAAACTGTAAATATATCACGTAACTCGTCAATTGAGACCGTTTGTTTCGCAGTGTGCCATTTTTGTTACTTGACCAGCGTGTATTCTTTCGCTTCCAACAGCGGTCCCAAAGTTTTCAAGAATATTTTTTGTTAAAGTTGATTTGGCACATAATCATATCTATATGTATGATACAGAATTTTAATGTTTGTTACTTTTTTATATATTTTTTATGATTTTGCAAACCCTCAACTACTTTTTTAGGGGTGGTGACCCGTCCCTGTGTGTTAGGTAGGGAGAATTGACGTTTCAAGGTTTTACGTTTGTAATGAAATAATTAATTTTCCAGTAAACAACGACACAAAAAGTATATAATAAATAGGACATTCCATGTGTCTCGTGAAATATCATGTTTCTCTCATCTTGTGACGAGGGAAAAGGAGATATTTTCACTCGTGGCTATGCCTGTAATGAAAGTAATTATCAAATCTTACAGTACAGTACACTACACCATTTCACCATTCTCTATAAGGACCCTTGAAATAAGTAATTTAGGGTTCTCTGGACTCCTACTTTTATAGGTGCAGGAAAAACTCTGTTGAAAGTACAATATCACACACAACAATCTGTCAGACAGCCTACCAGGAGCTTTTTCTGGAGCCGCGACAAGACGACACCGACGATGTAGATGAGCGGGCCACACAAGACGACGAACATTCCACCTATCACAGCGCTCCAGCCCATCCGGAAATACAGCAGGATAATAGTCACTAACACCTGCCAAGATACAAAAGTTTCATGTTACAATTGTCATCCAAATTTCATATTCATAAACATAATATTGCTGTTGTCAATTGGAATCATTTACTGATAAGAATATTAGTTGTCATTAGACTGCCAAAACAAGGTTCATACAGATATGGAACACAAATCAAGGCCTTTTCCAGGGTTTCCAAGGCTTTCAACTGTAATCATTAAGGCTTAGTTGGGTTATTTGTCTTAGCCTGTCAATATTTTGTTTGAATCAAGCATACTATATATTAGTCGTAAGGCCTAAAATGCAGTATGAAAATAACAAATTTTCAAAGATTTATATCCACAAACAACAAACAAAATAAAGTAAGTCTGTCATGAATTCTTCATGGTCTTTGGTACACCAATTTATCACTGTGACAAAACACATTTAAACATTCTTGGTAAAATAATTCTGCAGAACGTATACCTGGAATTTACCTGGAATAAAGTGTGAAATGTTAACCTGGAATTTACCTGGAATGAGCAGTGAAATGTTAACTGGAATTTGGTATGAAACGTTTTCTTCGAATGGTTTGAAACGTTTACCTGGAATGGTATGAAAAGTTTACCTGGAATAATATGAAACGTTTACTTGGAATTGTATGAAACACTCACCTGTAACAGAATGAATGGAATGATATGACACACTCACCTGGAATGGTATGACACACTAACCTGGAATGGTATGACACACTAACCTGGAATGGTATGACACTCACCTGGAATGGTATGACACTCACCTGGAATGGTATGACACACTAACCTGGAATGGTATGACACACTCACCTGGAATGGTATGACACTCACCTGGAGTGGTATGACACACTAACCTGGAATGGTATGACACACTCACCTGGAATGGTATGGCCCAGATGTAGTGGATGAAGAAGAACATGTGCATGAGGAACATGGAGTCCACTATCATGTGGTTCATGATCTGACCAATGGTCATCTTGCCCTTACTGAGCACCATGGAGGACAGCCTCAGGGCCTTGTCGTACACCAGAGTCTGAAACAGAAACAGTGATGTCAATCATCTTATTCAACTCATCTTTTGGCCCCTTTTGCCACACGGGGGCACGGGTGGCCCAGTCGTCTAAGGCGCCGTGATTCGCTGTGCAGAGTTGCTTCCCTTGGGCACGCCAGAAACCTATGATTGTGGGTTCGAATCCCGGTTCGCCCCGATTACGTTTCTAGGTCTGGCAGCACCATACCCGTGTCTGTGGGTTTCACCGAAGTGGTAAGCGTCTGAGACCTGCATTACTTCGGGATTTCCTCCCACATTAAGCTGACACGCCGTGATACAACTGGAATACTGTTAAAAGTGGCGTTAAACCCAACTCACTCACTCTTTTGCCACACCATGTCTTCAATAATCATAAGGTCTCTGGTGAAAACTGTAAAATAAAATCATGAATATTTGGAAAATGGTGTGTGCTATTTATCATTTGGCAATTCTTGTTCAGTAATCGTGTGATTTGAAAATAAATCCTTGACAAGAATGCTTCACCCTCTTCCTGATGCACATGCAAAACATGCTACTTGGACGGTTTTCTTTGAATAACAAGTGAAAGAGTTACTTCCCTTTGCATCAATACAGATGGAAGAATAAATGACTCTGAGAGTCTGATCAAAGCTTATTTTCTTTCCACGTTGGTATCATGAATATTAATGAAGGTTAGGTTTGTATATCTGTCACTGATACAACCCTTAGAACTAACTGCAGTCAATAATGACAACCTAGACCAAAGTCCAATTCCACAAAGCAGTTTTAGTGCCACGATGATACGTAAGTCTGTGTTAGAGCATGGGACGTACGACTTGGATTAATTGTTGTGAGTTACCTGTATGGCGGTCCTGAGTCGGATGCCCTCCCTGTAGACGAGGTAGTTGTGGTTCTGCAGCAGCGTATGCTGCAACACCGTAGCCAGGAACAGAACAACAGCCAGGACATACCCGTTCCACACGAACTGGTCCACTTTCACATACTGAAACATAACGTTCACACTGATGATAACTCCTGCGTGTACATGATACAGGTGACAAGGTTCGGCCTGTTCACGAGCGTCTATGCTTGTCAAAAGAGGCGACAAACGGGATCGGGTGGTCAGACACGCTGACTTGGTTGAAGCATGTCATCGATCCCAATTGCATGGATTGAGGCTCATGATGTCAATCACTGGATTGTCTGGTCAGACACAATTATTTACAGACCGCCGAATAGAAGGCCAAGATTGTATGGCAGTACTTCCCACAGGCTATGCAAAATCTCTCCTGTTCAAATGTTTATTACATTGAAGCTAGAGACAGACAATGATTTTGACGGATTAAATCGTAAAGCCTTCACTATCAATCAGAATGCCCAATGTCAAATCGACTGGATAGAACCTGCGATGTCTCGCGTGGAAGTCAGTTATGGATGATAAAACAGTATCTCAGTTTTGGAAGTCCAAACATCTCATATTGAAAGATTCCGAATGTAACAGTTACTTCAATTCCTACAAAAGGATTATTTTTCATGTTCCTTGACACCATATTGGTACCATTTTTATTATACATGCTCCGTGCATGAAAAGATGAAGAGCTGACTACAGTCAAGAACGACATAAGCCTGAGGTGTATCCTAGTATTCATATGTCCATGCACCAAGTATATGTACACAGATTAAAAATTTGTGTCTAACCTTTACTTGTCCATACAAAATCAGTCTTTGAAAACAATCAATATCTCTGACGATTATTTGTGACTGACGACTTAGTAAGGCTTAAAAAAAGTCTTGGTTCTCAGGCACCTTCCGCGTCATCATAAAGTTCGCCGCCATGTTTCGTTTTTATTGCCATTTTCAAAAATAACAAAAAAATCCTGAAATATTCCAAGTCCAATTGTAGTCCAATACTGTGTTCCAGTATTTTATTCATCAAGGAATACATTTATGTAGGGAGGCCCTTTCCCAGGCTGATTGTACACAATCCAATATTTGGTTACACAACTGTTTATTTGGTTACATACTAGTTTGAACAACAACAACAAAAAAAGACACCAGCCTCCCACACTATATTTGCCTGAGAACCAATTCTTTTCCATTTTTAAGCCTAAAGATACCACGTTTTAAACTACAGTCATCGTTGTTGTTATTATTGACAAATGATATAAGACGAAGTGTAACAATATGGACCTCTGACAATGATTTTGCTGGAGCAAAAAGTCATCAGAACAGTTTCGAAATTTACAGACAATTGTGAAAAGAGTGTTCAGCCTATGCATGGTAAGGATGTTTTGAATACCAATCAGTCAATGTCCGACAGCATGAACAGCACACGTACATATATGGCCGTCTTGTTCCTGCTGTGGAACTCTGGGTCTGTGATGTCGTAGGCGTAGTCCACGATGTACTGAATGATGACTGGGCCGACAAACGAGAGCGAGTCCCCGAGGAAGCGATACAACGCTGCCAGAACCAGCATAGGCCAGAAGGCTCGCAGGTAGGTCTTGATCAGTGATGGCTGCCCCCCCTTCTGTGTGGCCTTAAACTGGAAGAAAACATTGGAAGAGTGTCACCACATCTGTAGTCGACATCCCAGAACAAATACTGTATTCGACGTAATAAGCGCCCATGGTGATATTTGCTAATATATTGGCTAGTGTACAATCCCAATTATCACCCCTTTCCAATTGATCAATGTACACAAGACTTATTTATTCGTGTATAATACACACTCATGTGTTATATGCACCCTTAATTATGGGCAATTAAATTCTGGAAAATATATCTGTCGTGTATAATACGCAACAACTTTTCTTTTGTATCATTTCAGGCTGTCAGCATAAACCATGACATTTACAATCTTTCAACTCTGTTTTTTTTTTCTCACCAAAATTATATTCTAATAGGAGCCCCCTATTTCTAATTTTGAGAGCACCCTGGCCGCTTATTACGTCCAATACAGTAAAGGACAACTAAAATAAGAGCCAATACTGCAAAATAAACGTTGAATGTTGTGGAAAGACAGTGAAATATTGGTGACATGTAAGAAGTGATTTCAGTTTGGGGGCGTTAATCGGGTACAAACCTAACAAACAGTGTGCACACTGTGTAAATAATACAATTTGTGAAAATCATCTTTGGTCAAAGACTCGCTCCTGTTCAAGAAGTAGAAACACACTTCCTTAAAACATGCAACATCAGACGGTTTAACCATGTTGGCCTATTTTAGCTTTACCTATGCATATAGGTGGTTATAAGTCCTATACACGTAGGGGTTAAAATTAACAAAGTAAAATTCTAATTCATATGACGTTATTAACTATTTGTGAAAGTTTTGCTAAATTCCATAATTGTGCAGATCCTTTGGGTCAAAAATGTCTCTTTTCAACATCATTTCCTTTGGAAACACACAGGGATGGATTTAACCATATAAAACATGTACCAGTGCATCCTGATCTTGAAAGATGCAACCTAATATCTAGTTCTGCATGCACCTAGTGCATGTCAAAATTGTACTAATTTGTAAATGCTTTCGACACAACACTGATCTTAACACATTATTTAGCATCCAAACCACTTTTCCCAGTGTTATGTGTAATTTGTCATTGTTCCTTGGGCTTGACATCATCAAAGTGTCGGTACTTCATGATTACCGGTATGTGCACATATACTTGTGATGAATTACAGCAATACACCATTATGTTTTGTGAAAGCTGACCAGCTGGCTAGGTACCATGAGTGCAACCTTGTTTAGTCCGGTGCAACCTTGTTTACTCCGGTGCAACCTTGTTTAGTCCGGTGCAACAAGGTCTTGATGTCAACATGCACCATCAGTAATGGATCAGTAATCAGAAACTTCTGTCTGCTTGATGTTCAGGGAGTAGTTCTACCAAGCTAATAATTGGATACTAGCAGAGTCTGATGATCAATATATAGAGGATGTTTCATGTGTTGAGTGAAATATCATGTTTCTCTCATCAAGTAACGAGCAGAAAGGAGATATTTTCACGAGAGGCGTAGCGAGATGAGAGAAACATGCTATTTCATGAGCCACATGGAATATTCTATATATTATATACTTTTTGTGCAGTTGTCTACCGTTAAATTAAAGGTATTTCATTACAAATATAAAACATTGAAATGTAAATACTCCCTACCTAATGCGCAGGGACGTTTCACCACCCCTTGTAGTTGTGACTTAAAAAGTAGTTCCGTGTTTGCAAAATCTTAAAAAATATACACAAAATTAACAAAAAAATATTTGCGGTTACTAAAATTTTCTTATCATATATTTGGATATGATTATATACAAACTCAATTAAAAAATATTCTTGAATTCTACGAGACCCCTGTTTGAAGTGAAAGAATACATGCTAGTCAAAAAACAAAAATGGCGCTTTGCAAAATGAACAGTCTCATTTGCTGAGTAAATCAGAATTTACAGTTTATAACGAAACATTTTCACGAGAGACCATTTGTCATTATTTTGCCTTGTCAATGTGAAACTAACATCAAAATGAAGTCGACAGTTTGTGTACGGTCTAGACACTTACAAGAAAGGGAAACAATTTGAGGGAAGGTAACTCTTGTATGAAAATTGTTCCATCAAAATGTTATGTTCACTGCAGTGAAATAAATATCAAGTGTTATGTTCATTGCAATGAAAATATCACTTTTCTCAAGTTAGGAAATCTTGATCATTCACAGTGAAGTATATAATAAAATCTGTGATTGTATGAACCCTATACCATGTACACCAGTACAATGATCAACTTGATAATGATTGACCTCACCTAGTTGTAGTGAGAAATATTCTTTCAATCGTAACTTTTAGGTTTTATCAACTAACACAGGTTTGAGACAAATACCAATTTGGTGACACCCACATGCACGAGTACAAAGCTAACAAGCCATCATCAATATGTTGCTAGGATTCAAACCCACAGCTTTCTGAAACAAATTAGAAAATGGATTCCGAGATCGTTCTACCTTTTCCTCCTCAAATGCAAACTGTAATTTCTTGAACTGGGTTTGTGCTTGTTCACTCTGAAACATAAAGACAGCAGCATATATATATACATGATGAGTCCTTTACACAAGGCAGGATTAACATGATTAATATACAAAGATAACAATAAAATGACGAAGCCAATGAGTTAACAGGAGAAAAGCCCATTATCTTGATTAAGTACAATGAAGGTGTGATTATAGGGTTGACTGTGGTATCGGTTTAGGTTAGGTCTACTATTGCCTACAGTAACAAACGCCTACACAGAATAATAGCTACAGACTATGCTGACTATGTTTCTAGTAAGTGAGTGAGTGAGTGAGTGAGTTGGGTTTTATGCCGCTTTTAACAGTATTCCAGTTATATCAAGGCGTGTCAGCTTAATGTGGGAGGAAAGCTTGAAGTTATGCAGGTCTCAGACGCTTACCACTTCGCCGAAACCCATGAGCACGGGTATGGTGCTGACAAACCTAGAAACATGATCGGGGCGAACCGAGATTCGAACCCACAATCATAGGTTTCTGGCGTGCCCAAGGGACGCAACTCTGCACAGCGAATCGCGGCGCCATAGACGACTTGGCCACCCGTGCCCCCATGTTTCTATTGAGAACAGATATGTTTTCATCTATAGCTGCAAAACCAGATATTCTTTTAATTTAGACTATGAGCCAAAGTATTACACTGCATCAATGTGATTGGTGAACTGGAAATTCTGTAGAATTGTTACTGTGTATGTATAGCTGTCTTTATACGTATCATTTTCCCTTTCATCCCAAATTTTAAAAACAAGTCACCCAGCTTTGCGAAATGGATACCACATTTCAGATTTCATCAATATTTTTCAGAACATTCTGCGAACCACGTGGGTTCAGTTGGCATGTTCATCCTTACAACCAGAAACACAAAAAGCACTACACTGTAATCTTGAAATGAAACCTGAGTCTTTCATGCGACTTACTCACTGCCCTTGACAATGTGACATGTGGGACACCAACACATCACCATCCCAAAATCTACCACAAGCACCATGCTGTAATCACATTTGGAATAAAACCTGACTCTTTCAAGTGACTAGCCTTGACCATTAAACTTACTCACTGCCCTTGACAACAACAAATGCTGACACCTACACATCTCCTTTCCAACATCTACTACAAGCACAACACTAAGGGCCTGGCTGTCCCCACAGGGCCCCCACTACAGCAGGTTCAGGCTTCAGGCTCAGGATCAATAAACACTCCCGGTTTTGCTCTCCAGAATGACACAGTTCTCAGTAAGCCAGGCCTCTGTTGTGGAACATGACAGGTGACATTTACATCGGTGCGATCCATCAGGTGGAAGTGTATACAAGTGATGCTACACCAGGGATGCAGGCGCACTGCATCACTGGTTACAGGGACAGTGTCCCATATCTCCACACACAGAACATAACAACAGATTGTTAGCCAAAGGACATTCTTCAGCTTGAAGAACACTGTGGCCGCTATTTACTGCATGTCTTTGTACTGTAGCATCAGTGCACATGTTATTCGTGAAGTAAGTCTCAGCAGAGTACCTCAATATTCTTGATGCTTCAGGCTAGTTCTTTGTGATAGAGTTCATGACATCAATGAAGAAAGACAATCTCTTGTAACACATCCTAGATTATATTAAACATGAGGTGAGGAACATTGTGACAACTCTGATATCATCCCAGATGTCAGATCTTATCCTGCTATGGGGTCTATGTCATATCATTCCAGATCATATCCTGCTAGGGGGGTCCATGTCATATCATTCCAGATCATATCCTGCTAGGGGGTCCATGTCATATCATCCCAGGTCTCAGATCTTATCCTGCTACGGGGTCTATGTCATATCATCCCAGATCATATCCTGCTAGGGGGTCCATGTCATATCATCCCAGATCTTATCTTGCTAGGGGGTCCATGTCATATCATCCCAGATCTTATCTTGCTAGGGTGTCCATGTCATATCATCCCTGATCTTATCTTGCTAGGGGGTGCATGTCATATCATCCCTGATCTTATCTTGCTAGGGGGTCCATGTCATATCATCCCAGATCTTATCTTGCTAGGGTGTCCATGTCATATCATCCCTGATCTTATCTTGCTTCGGGGTGCATGTCATATCATCCCAGATCTTATCTTGCTAGGGTGTCCATGTCATATCATCCCTGATCTTATCCAGCTAGGGGGTCCATATCATCCTTGATCTTATCTTGCTAGGGTGTCCATGTCATATCATCTCAGATCTTATCCAGCTAGGGTGTCCATGTCATATCATCCCTGATCTTATCTTGCTAGGGTGTCCATGTCATATCATCTCAGATCTTATCCAGCTAGGGTGTCCATGTCATATCATCCCTGATCTTATTCTGCTAGGGGAGCCATGTCATATCATCACAGATCTTATCAAGCTAGGGGGTCCATGTCATATCATCCCAGATCTTATCCTGCTAGGTGGTCCATGTCATATAACCCCAGATCTTATCCTGCTAGGTGGTCCATGTCATATCATACCAGAACTTACCATCTGAAAAACTCAATACAAAGTCACACCAGTTATGTGCCTGGTGTTGGTCATCTGAGGCCACACCCATGATGTGCCCAGTGTTGGTCTTCTGCAACACTCAATAAAAAGTCACACCAGTGATGTGCCCGGTGTTGGTCATCTGTAGCCACACCCATGATGTGCCCAGTGTTGGTCATCTGTGGCCACACCTGTGATGTGCCAAGTGTTGGTCATCTGTAGCCACACCCATGATGTGCCCAGTGTTGGCCATCTGTAGCCACACCCGTGATGTGCCCGGTGTTGGTCATCTGTGGCCACACCCATGATGTGCCCAGTGTTGGTCATCTGTGGCTACACCCATGATGTGCCCAGTGTTGGTCATCTGTTACCACACCCATGATGTGCCCGGTGTTGGTCATCTGTAGCCACACCTGTGATGTGCCCAGTGTTGGTCATCTGTAGCCACAACCATGATGTGCCCGGTGTTGGTCATCTGTAGCCACACCCATGATGTGTCCAGTGTTGGTCATCTGTGGCCACACCCATGATGCGTCCAGTGTTGGTCATCTGTGGCCACACCCATGATGTGTCAGGTGTTGGTCATCTGTGGCCACACCCATGATGTGTCCAGTGTTGGTCATCTGTGGCCACACCCATGATGTGTCCAGTGTTGGTCATCTGTGGCCACACCCATGATGTGCCCAGTGTTGGTCATCTGTAGCCACAACCATGATGTGCCCGGTGTTGGTCATCTGTAGCCACACCCATGATGTGTCCAGTGTTGGTCATCTGTGGCCACACCCATGATGCGTCCAGTGTTGGTCATCTGTGGCCACACCCATGATGTGTCCGGTGTTGGTCATCTGTGGCCACACCCATGATGTGTCCAGTGTTGGTCATCTGTGGCCACACCCATGATGTGTCCAGTGTTGGTCATCTGTGGCCACACCCATGATGTGTCCGGTGTTGGTCATCTGTGGCCACACCCATGATGTGTCCGGTGTTGGTCATCTGTGGCCACACCTGTGATGTGCCCGGTGTTGGTCATCTGTGGCCACACCCATGATGTGTCCGGTGTTGGTCATCTGTGGCCACACCTGTGATGTGCCCAGTGTTGGTCATCTGTGGCCACACCCATGATGTGCCCAGTGTTGGTCATCTGTAGCCACACCCGTGATGTGCCAAGTGTTGGTCATCTGTGGCCACACCCATGATGTGTCCGGTGTTGGTCATCTGTGGCCACACCCATGATGTGTCCGGTGTTGGTCATCTGTGGCCACACCTGTGATGTGCCCGGTGTTGGTCATCTGTGGCCACACCCATGATGTGTCCGGTGTTGGTCATCTGTGGCCACACCTGTGATGTGCCCAGTGTTGGTCATCTGTGGCCACACCCATGATGTGCCCAGTGTTGGTCATCTGTAGCCACACCCGTGATGTGCCAAGTGTTGGTCATCTGTGGCCACACCCATGATGTGTCCGGTGTTGGTCATCTGTGGCCACACCCATAATGTGCCCGGTGTTGGTCATCTGTAGCCACAACCATAATGTGTCCGGTGTTGGTCATCTGTGGCTACACCCATGATGTGTCCGGTGTTGGTCATCTGTGGCCACACCCATGATGTGTCCGGTGTTGGTCATCTAGTGGTGTAACGATACGGCGATACAGTATTGTATCCCGATGCACAGCCCACGATATGATGCATCGATTTGGAAAGCATGTATCGCGATACATACAATATTTTCATAACACAGTTTTACTTACGTAATTTCTTGAGTGTAGTGCACACTTTTTCCAAAAAGCACAGCTGTGTAGAAGGGGGTCGGCATAATACACGAATTAATGAGTTTTGATGTTTTTTTCCCCCATTGAAAGACATTACCGTGAGCACGTAACACCGGAAATACCATGTCAACAAATCCATACTGAAGTTCGCAAATTATTAATAAAATTGCACTGTCTGTCTATAAAAAGTGTTCATTGTATATCTGGACTTATGTTTGTAACTTATTTCATTAATTTTATTCAAAATTCCTTTAAATATTGTTTTAATTAATTTCGGCATGTGTGAAGCGATCGGAAGATCGCACAACTCAACGTTATTTACAGCAACCACGGTCAGATTATTGCTATTGACGCCTTGAAACGAACTTTAGTTGACAGAGAATGGATACATATATCATAAATGCCATACTTTGATTTGTTAAAAGTCATATTTGTTTTTTTGGACGATTCTATGTCAACACGTAGTTCTCGCGATCAGCTGCTATGCTTAGGGTTATTATTATTTTAAATATGTTTAGTAAAGGCTGCATATAATTAAGAAAATAATGGAATATATTATTCCTGATAATAAAAATAGTTTCAGATACAATTTTTGCCGATCCTTGCATTAAAAATCCTATAAAGTTATATCATTGGGTGTGTCTTGACCGAATCACCAGTAGATTCCAAGAATACGTGTGTACAGCTGATTGCTGTGTCCGGCTTAGTTTACGAGAAAATACACAAGGTAATCTTAATCCCTGGATATAAAACAATGCCTAGCTATAGCTGAACAAAAAATACAATTTAAACAGTAAATCAACATGTCTGGTGATTTTTTATCTCAAATTTCAAATTTGTACTGACGAAGTTTCTCGTCACCTGTTCGTTTGCCGGACTTCGCTGAACTTTTTTCTGCGCATAATATTAAAATTTCTTTTTTTCATTGAACCCCCTAGAGCATGTAGAGGGGGGTGCGCATTATACATGGGTGCGCATTATACTCAAGAAAATACTGTACTTTGAAACATGAAATACGTTTAACAGTTTCAAAGCCAGTTTGTTGTTTCAGTAAAACATACTGTATTGCTGACAATTTGCTATAACAGTAAATAAACACCATATATCTTCTTCAACTGTACTTGTCACATCTTTTAGAGAGCAGAAAGACATCAACTTGGCTTAGCTTGTACCAGTAAACACTGTATCGTGATATGTATCGTATCGCGACCCCTGTATCGCGATACGTATCGTATCGCGACCCTTCCGTATCGTTACACCTCTAGTGGCCACACCCATGATGTGCCTGGTGTTGGTCATCTGTGACACTCAATACAAAGCCACACCCTTTGTTTTGCATGGTGGAGGTTATTTGTGGCTGCAGCTGTGCAGGAAGTATAATGGGAGAAACAATGCAAAAAGTATATCAATTTGAGTGACCATATGTTATTTACCACGTGAAATTATGAGATATTGAAATGATCATATTAGATTGCACAAATCTATTTAATATAATTTTATTAATCATATTCTCATGAAATACACAGCAAACATAATCATTTTCCTGTTAATATATTCATCATTTCCAAACTATATACGCTGTGCTCAAAATTAAGAGATCTGAGATCTTTAACATAAGGATTATGATGTTTAATTAAGACACAATTCTGAAGTTTTTGGTAAAACTAAAACTGAGGAAGCTTGTTATGAATCGTCTAAATGCAAGAAATACCAGAAAAAATATGAAACCATCAGGATGCCTCATCATGCTCATAGTGAAACATTACCATGATTACAGTAGTCGCAATACAAAACAAATCCAAAAAACAGTTGGCCAGAGAAAGACAGTGTGCAGCATGCTGAAGTCAAGATATGTAAGATTGAATACCCTTCATTACCTGCCCTGGTGGCTCAGGGGGAAAACACTGGGTTACTATTTAAACACGATATGACTGGTTGCAGGTTCAATTCACATCGTGGACTTTTCATGTGAAAGAAATTGTAACTTTTAACCAGTAAAAATCAAAATCAGATACATATTGAAAAGCTGTTTACATTATTCAACTCTAAAACCTAGGTCATGCTATTCAAATGTAAAACCTCCAAGCAGTTCTGACTTGAAAGTAGAACCACTCACAAGATTTCTATGAGATACACGATACCTACAATACTATAGGCAATAGTGGCAAAAGGATTATAAAAGGAACCCTTGACTTTCATGTTTAATTTTGACCAGTGACAAAGAAACGGTTTAGGGTATAGGCCAACCTCAATCCAACCCTTTCGATTTAGGATTCTAAAATGTGGTGTTAATTAAAATATTGTAGCAAAGTTACTCTCTAGAATGAATGGTTGCACTAGGCATAAGGTTGCCATGGTTACCATGGTTACCTTGATTTTAATAAAGACCAGATATCATTTGTTCCACAGAAAGATTTATGTGACTGCGAGCCATCAACCTGAATCACCACACACAGCTGATCAAAATTTTATTGCATAAGGCCATCCTTCAAACAGCACAATCATCATGATCAGCACAACCTGGATAAAGAGAGTCTGGTCCTCGTTCTAATCTCTTGTCTATCCTACTTCACATCTGTAGCAACAATCAGCCAGTGCACTCCACCACTGGAGTGACGTTCACACGATGTCTTGCACATCCAGAACTAGGCCAGTCAAGAATTGGAATGATGTGAAAGATTAGCAAACAGCAAACGACTGAAGAACCTGGCCCCAGTTATGAAATGTAACTAGATACAGGTTGCTCATGGTCCTGTGTACAGAACACAGGTCACAAATCAGGTTAAGTTGAGCAATGTTGGTTGTTGGATGGGTGACCACATTTGCCGGCTTGACTTGTGAGACTTTCTACGGCTTCGGTACTGCCCCACACTGCAGTTTCTCCTTATTATAGCGACTTTGTTCGAAATATGCCTCTGTTCTCCCAGCAGTGAATGGGTACCCGGTAGGATGAGATGGCAATGTGACCTTCTAGTCCCCCACAGACAGTATGGACTGTACACTCCCGAGGGAGCTGAGAATGAAAATGGAGTGCACACAGAGCCACTGACCAGGACAATGATGCAGGGCTTTGAGCATACTGAGCCTTACGGTCTGGAACTCAAGCATTACAAATATGCACATTATTACATGAACTTGGGCGCTCCCATGTCAACGCCAGTCACCACCAATAATGGAGAGACATCATGGAGAAATATTCAAAAACATTTCCATGTACCAAGGGGGCTAGCAGATCAGTACTAATCTGAGATTTACCTGAGTGACTTATTTGGAGGGTCCAGGCTCAAAGCCTTCAATTGTAGGGTTCCCAGGTTAAAAAGTGGGGGTTCCCAGAGAAATGTCAAAACTTGAATACAGTACTCCTGTCACAAGTGACATGAGATTGTGCATGCTTAGAGGTTGTCAGTTAAGTATAGATATGGACTTCCCCAACAGAAACAAATCTACAAGAGCTGCCGCTAGAAGGTCATGAGGCTTTCAACTGTGTGCTGTGTTTTTAAGATGGTTACGTACAGCAATTACTTTTAAGTGGTACCAAGTTAGGAAATAACAGCATACATTTGGAATTTCCTTTACATCCATACAAATACTCTACATACACCGTATACCTACTCCGAGCCGACCAGTCCTTGTTTTAGCCCCAAAATGCCAAGCACTAGGCAGGGTAACAACAAGTTCCATCTTTTAAACATCTTTTGGTATGACGTGGCCGGGGATTGAACCACGAAGTCACTGAACCTGACCACTTGATCCATTAAGTTACCCCTTACGACCTGCATAGGTGGCTGGGGACCTTAGCTCACCTGGAATCCTGAGGGTCACAATAAAATGCATAATGCCATGGGAACAAGTCTAAATTCACAAGTAAAACACAAATTAGTTATCGCAACAACCTCTTGTTAGCATGGTTAGCTGGACCACTCTGAGAAATTAAAGCCAAACGGCATAAATCAAGTATCATGATTCGCGATATGTATCAATACATGAGGTAGGCATATTATGACACCCGTATTCAACACACAAAAATCTCACTACAAGTGGTGTTATGATACGGCGATACAGTATTGCATATTGATATGAAGCCCACGATACCTCGATAAAATGATATTGTAAAAACATGTGATAAAGAACAGAAACTGTTCAACCATTTACGCATTTTCTCTGATATTTCCCAGTAGGCTATAAATAGCTTTCACTGTGTCATTTAACCTATATATTTCTGCCCCATAATATCCCATCTTCAATCTCTGAATTTCAAAAACCAATGATGCAGGGTTGTGATTCAACTGCAAAACGAAAGAATATCAACTTATGAAATAAAAGTACTGAATGGGGATGTGAATTCTATCGCACCCGTTGAATACATACATGAAGGGTACATATCGTATAGCAATCCCACTGTATCATTACACCTCCAGGAACAATCTCATTCAAATCAGATCTTAGTTCTCGCTATCTCTAAACAAAGATCTGAGGACATCCCATTACAGGTCACGTCAGAACGACCTTTCATCCGACCAATCAAAGCGTTGCTTACCAGATCATGAAAGTGACAGTCGGAATGTGTTTCTGATCATGCAACCTCAAAAATGTTAACACGGGGTATTCCTAACGACAATAACGGCCCGTACGACTGATTCCGTCAAAATTATCGTCTATCTCTCGCTTCCATGGTTAAACATTTGAACGGAGGAGGCGTTGCACAGTACGTGGGAAGCACTGCCATACAATCTGAACCACATATTAGACATTCCAGAATGTTCGTTTGTTCAGTTTTTAAAATTTAAATCAAGAACCATGTCAACATATTTTTCAAGCGTAGTCTGAAATGGAAATCACCAGGTTGAAATGAGTGCCGTAAGCTGGAGAAAGCTGCTTTCTAATTGGCTGATGTCGACTTCTTGCTTGTCATTTCAGTGGTCGGTCAAAGTTCGCGAAAGTTCATTCTGACGTGACCCGTAATGGGATGTCCTCAGATCTTTGTTTAGCGGCAGCGAGAACTTAGATCTGATTTTAATGAGATTGCTTCCAGCAACTACTTTCATTGACCTTACCTCTGGTACTCGTCCTAGATCTTCAAACTGCAGTGGGTGTTTGTAGCCCTCCACCATGAGGTCAGTGACCCACCAGAACACTGCCTTGGACAGGAAATTGACGTACGAGTGGGCATACCGCGTGTGCTCCAGGTCTTCCGGGGGCTGCTGTAGTCGAGGGCGTTTGAAGAAGTAGTACCTCTGGAACAGATTGTAGGACAACTACATTTTTACTTTGAATCTTTTGGTGCATCTTCCTGATGCAAGGGAGTTAACTGACTATAAAAGTCCAGTTTCCACCCTTGCTGGACTAGGCTGGAATTCCGTAGTCATAGTTTGGCTGGTCTATTGATTCTATGCATAGTTCAATCAAAATCGCATAACTAGACATCCAGTTCGCAAACAACATGTTTTTTAACATGCAGATTTCAATCGAGTACAAGATTTGTCAAGCATGTGTACACGGGTGACGACAGACATTTTCCAAATCTTTTCATGTTATTCATCAAGGTGCTAACGTGTATTGATGCACTTCACGAGGTAAGACCCAATTTATTAAAACAGATCTTGATTATTGATTAGATCGTCTTGACTGGGTGCTGCCATATTGTTTGAAGCAAGAGCTCAGTGTTATATGAGAGGTGGAACCTGATTGGTCAAAAGGAGGGACGTAGAAGGGACATATCTCGTAATAGGCACTGGTGCCAATACGATCAAGCCACAAAATTCCAGCCTAGACTTTTATAGTCAGTTATCAGCCCTGCCTCAGAAAGATGCTTTTAGTGGTACAAACAATAGGAGTGGATCCAGTCAATAATGATGTTACAACCAATTCACTACACTAATTGTGATAGGAGTGGATCCAGTCAATAATGATTTTACAACCAATTCACTACACTAATTGTGATAGGAGTGGATCCAGTCAATAATGATGTTACAACCAATTCCCACCAATAATTATCATGGGAGTGATCCAAACATTGATAATGATTTTACAACCAATATCCAACACTTATGTAATAAACTAGAGTAAATAAGTACAATCTCAGATCTCTGATGACTATTTTACATAAATTAATGATGTACTGCTGTTAATGTAATTGGAACATATAATTAAGTACCCGCACTTTGATGACATATAGAGCTACATAGAGCCCCGGAAATAGAAATTAAAACTGACAAAATAATTTAGCTGGGGAAGAGTAATTCGTCACAAAGGTCCACAACATCAGCTCACAATGACACAGGCCAGGTGAGCTGAAAATAGTTTACTATAAACATGCTAAAAACAGAGAGGTCAAGTTATAGGACAAAGATAAAAGTTTTACGACATAACAATTGATAAGTTAATCAATCATAAAGGAGTAACAATATATGATATGGAGTAAAAATTAGGTCAATATGCAGATAATACACAGTTATTTTTCGATGGAGCTGAAGAGTGTCTTAGAGCTGCAATTGATACTTTGAATCTATTTTATAGAATATCTGGCCTTTAACATGTTTAAGGTACGTATTGACAAAACTAAAGCTATATGGATAGGTTCAATGGCAGGAAGCAGCATCAAACTCTGTGAGGACATAATACTAGACAGGCATGAGGGAAACTTTGAAGTCTTGGTAATAATATTTAATGTCACATTACATGATCTATGGGTAATAATTACAAGAAAAAGACTCGAACATATTAATAGATTACTTGGAAGCTGGAAAAAAAACCACCCACCTGATGATTTTATTGGAAAATTGAATAAACTATTTTATACAATCATTTGGAATAACAAACCAGACAAAAAAAATCTACTTTTTTAAGGAAATATGAAGAAGGTGGTCTGAGAATGATAGATACCTGTTAATTTATTGATTCATTGAAATTATCATTTTTAAGGACAAGTTTACAAAAACAGACTTTGTCAACATTAAAGAACTTTCAATCAAAACAGATATTCCTTTTGGGGGCAAAAATTTATAAGTTTATTACTTTGAAAAATACCTTTTGGAGGGATATAGTATATATTTGGGGTAATTACTACAGAAAACATAAAGTTGACAAACAAATCATTGAAGACATTTTATCAGAGCCAATATGGTTCAATCACCAATTTAAAAATAATTTCATTCTACAACATTGGTTTAATAAGGGTATTCATAGTTTAAAAGATTTATGTAGCAACAACAGATTTGTAACATTTGAAGAATTACAAAACAAATTTCAAATTAAAGTTTTACTTGACTACAACATGTACAACAGAGTAATGCTAAATATCCCTAAATCATGGAAAAAAGCAATAAATGGCAGATTTTGTATCACAACTAATTTATACATAAATTTTTTTTTGAGAGACTTGTTGATGTGAACAAAGGGCTACAGAATATTTTATGATAAACACATGGCTACAACTAACTTTCCTCTGATGTGTGATAAATGGGAAAATGAACTTAATCAAAGCATTTTATGGAATAATGTTTCCTCTAATTGTAGACATGGTAGAATGATGTTAAACTAATAGATTTCCAGTACAGATTCATAAATAGAGCTCTTTATACCAAAATGGAATTATTGAAAATGAAGTTAATGGATGATGATACACTGATCCCTCGCTATTGTGCTCTTCGATAAAGCGCTACCTCGGTTACTACGCGCGGTAACGCATGGCTCCCAAAATTTATGTACACTTTTATTACTGAGAGTTTTACACAGACATAATTGTATTGTTGTTCGTTGTTCATTTGCACATAACGCTTTTCATTGCATAATCAACGGTTTATCGCTGAATGGAGTTCTAATAATCTGTTTGAAAACATCTGCGGCAAGTCCCAAGTGTATATACATGATGATATATGCTCTTCTTGTGTCTCTGAATCTGAAAACTTATACCATTGGATGTGGAATGCGTTTTTGTAAAGGAATTTTGGTTAGAAATTGAAATGTACCTAAACTCGAAACTTGCATAGGATATTCATATTATAATTGCCATTCTTGATAAGTTATTTTACTACAACAAAAACAACTATCTTTTCAACCATATAATTCTTCTTGAAAAGAAAAACAATCACCAGTCAAGCATTAAGAAAACTCCATTATGCTTTCCTTTCTTCATAAAAATATTGAAAGATGTATGTAAAATAGAAAAAAATATCGCTATGAAAAATAGCAGCATTAATAAATTTGACAGCAAATGGAAGGAATTATCAGCCTACTTAACATGCTTAATATAATTTTTCAGTCAATCAATATATGTACATACCCATATCTGATCATGTTTTAAGATTCTATGAATTGCTCCACTTGTATACCTCATGTACCAATGTTACATTTATGTCTACTGAACATGCTGAATTGAAATAAAAATATTAATAAAAAAGTAAAAAAGTTTATCAATCATACTCTATGTGTACAGACAAATATCCAGACCTGTAATTAATCAATTTACTGCTAATTACGAACTTGGCTGATCCCTTAAATGGTCTCAATTGAATGTTATGTCTCTTATCATCCATCATAACCATATTGTTAACCATGGCAATTTTAATAAATATAAACAATCCTATGGCAGTGAATTATTAATTTAGTATCAATGTTCATAACTTTGTTCTGATGAGGTATCAACATTAAGAGCTTATCTGTAGAGTATCAATATTAAGAGCTTATCCATACAGTATCGATATTAAGAGCTTATCGGTACAGTATTGATATAAAGAGCTTATCCGTACAGTACCGACATTAAGAACTTATCCGCACAGTATCGATATTAAGAGGTTATCAGTACTGCATAGATATTAAGAGCTTATCGGTACAGTATCGATTTTAAGAGCTTACCCGCACAGTATCGATATTAAGAGGTTATCGGTACAGTATCAATATTAAGAGCTTATCCATACAGTACCGATATTAAGAGCTTATCTGCATAGTATCGATATTAAGAGGTTATCAGTACAGTATCGATATTAAGAGCTTATCCGCACAGTATTGATTTTAAGAGCTTATCAGTACAGTATCGATATTAAGAGCTTATCCGTACAGTACCGATATTAAGAACTTATCTGCACAGTATTGATATTAACAGCTTATCCGTACAGTATGGATATTAAGAGCTAATCCATACAGTATCGATATTAAGAGCTTATCTGTACAGTATCAATATTAAGAGCTTATCCGTACAGTATCGATATTAAGAGCTTATCCAGACAGTATCGATATCAAAGAGCTTATCCGTACAGTATCGATATTAAGAGTTCATCGGAACATCAATATCATGATATCCGATGACATCCCTACTTGTGATATCTATACAGTTTGTCATTAGTATTCCAACCAAAGAGAATATTTAAAGATTCAGTTAGTTTCTCTGCAATATGCATACTCTCAGTATTTTCACAAGACAGTTTCGTAGATGGAAAATATTCCATGTTTCACTGCTATATGAAAAACCTGTCTACATCTTCTCTTTTAGGCTAAAAAATATAATAGTCTTGGTTCTCAGACACCGCCTGCATCATCATAAAGTCTGCCACATGTTTTGTTTATATTTCTATTTTAAAAAAAAATATATAAATCCTAATACATAAAAACAATGCGCTCCAATATAGCATGCAATTACTTCCTTTTACAAGCGCACTGCTTATGGTCATGGCGGCAATAGGAGTTTGTATGCTTTTTTATGCAGGGAGGCCCTGTCCCAGGTTGATGGTACACAACTGTTTATTTGGTTACATACTAGCTTGAACAAGCAAAAAAAGAAAAAAAGCACCGCCCGCCCACACTATATTTTCAAAAGCCATTGCCTGAGAACCAATTCTTTTATTTTTTTAAGCCTTACTGATAAAGTGTCACAAAACAGTTTTACTGCCTTTGATTGGCTATGTGACATGTGTGTGGCTGCTTGCACTAGGCTGGGATTCAGCCGGTTGAAAAGTACTCAAGTACTGGCCCACTGCGATACCATGCTACAGTTTGATGTAGATACACCACTCTGAGCCGACCACTCCTTGTTTCATCCCAATAATGATAAGTTTCAGCACAACAAGATGCAACAACTCATTATGATGACCTTTGCTATTTGCATGATTCATTTCCTTGGGAAACTGAAGAGCAATTAACACATTTTCTTCTTCAAATGGAGAAATTGACGGATCCCTGTTTATTGCTGATGGGTTGAGACTTGAGAGTTATGTGAGATGTTGCCAGGGCTCGATTTAAGGTACTTGATTTAACTTGCACTATGTGTATGTTGACATGGAAACCAGGTTGCATCCTGGTCCCATAAATTTATCAATGTTGAGACAAGTGCAGATAATCTTGAAGTACCCACCATTTGATGATGTCATGCCCCAAAAAGCATGTCAAATTACGCATAACACGGGGATGGATGATGTAGTATGGTAAATAAAGCTTTGAGGTATTGTTCAAAGATAGACACAAGTTGGTGAGACAAATTGCAAAGACTTTGACATGCACTTGGTGCATGTGTAGACATAAATGTAGCGGCCATAAAATTTCCGAGTCCCGTGATTCGAACCACGGACCTTCTGATCCGAGGTCGGACGCCTTGTACACATGACCAAAGAGGTTAACCCTGTCAGCAAGCTGACAAGGTAAGGATGTCATCTGTGGGATGACTCCAAGCCCTGCTACATAAATATAATGTTAGGGTTATCAGAGATCTGTGATTTAATTATTTAGACTAGTTAATGCATCTGAGTTTCAACTTTGATAAATTTATGGGACCAGGGTGCAACCTGGTTTAGTCTGGAGCAACTATGTCTTCACGTCAACATGCACCTTGTGCAGGTTAAATCAAGTTCCTTAAATGAAGCCCTGACTTTATATTCAACATGGGCCATGGCCTCTGTTGAAACATATATAATGATATAATATTGACAGAGAGGCAACAGACAGCATTCAAGAAAGGCTTCCACTTATATAACATTTGTTACATTTCTAAATGTCATTGTGTGTTATTTAAGATGTTATAGTTACCTTTTTTAGCATTTTGAGTTTTACATTTGTGTTTTTTTCTAATCCATCAAACATTGGGACTTGCAAAAGAAGATCAATTGGACAAAATATATCAGGAACAGGCACTTTTTCATTAATCATTAAAATAAAATTTAAACATCAGTTCTAAACAAGCCATCTGTGTTAAACATTCGAAAAAATATAAGGCCACACTTTCTTTTATTTCATTTTTCACAGTTCATTCCAGCTTTTCCACCATGTCCACAGGTTGGTTGAAAAAAAATTGAATAGCTATGCCTATTCTTTATTTATTGATATCAAAGTCCTTCTGCCGGGGAGTAAAACTGCAGGTGGCCTCTTGAATCACTGATACTATGTGATAGTGGTGTAGAGTGTAGACATGGAATTTATATGTAAAGAATCTCACCGAAGTCTTTTGATATCACATATATCAACACTAGGCTTGTCAAGGATTTTTTTCACTTTTATCAACGAGTGTTGATATATGTGATATCAAAAGACACGAGGGTGAGATTATATTTATCATCCAACATCATTCTTCCAACTTTTTCAGTTTGTAGACAGTAATAAGCAGTGTCTTATGTGTAAAAAGTTCTGCTTACAGCTTCAGTAGCAGAGCCATTAGTGATGTCATTTGATTGTGACGTCATGGTAACCAATGACGTCACAATGGTCTGCAAAGCATTGTGATGTAATGTCATTGATCTCAGCGTTATCTCCTGTGGGAGCCAGTTTGGGATGATAAATAACATTTTACATTGTATAACAGGGTCCATATTACTAGAAGGATACAAAATAAAAATATTTTATGATTAATTATTTCTGGATCGGCCGCTTTTCAGTAGGGTTGCGGGCCCGTGAAACAATATGTTTTAATAAAATGTGTGACCTAAAATGAAAAAAGAACTTCCAACATAACAAAGATATAATGATGTTTAAAATCACTTTCAAGACTATGTCACTCATTCAGCAACATCGTGAGACGCGACTAACAGGATCGGGTGGTCAGGTTCGCTGACTTGGTTGAAGCATGTCATCGATCCAAATTGCGTGGATCGATGCTCATGATATCAAACACTGGATTGTCTGGTCCAGAATCGATTATTTACAGACCGCCGTCATATAGCTGGAATATTGCCGAGTGCGGCGTAAAACAACAAACCAACCAACCAACCAACCATTCAGCAACATGCATGCATCTTGAACACTAAAAGAATGGTTGATTAAGTTAGCACAAGGACCAGCATACCATAAGCAAAATAAGTGTAGATACAAAAATATAAACTAAAATGATAAAGTCACATGTGAAAAAAAAGAAACTAAAAAGCATACCTGCACTCGCAGCAAGTTCAACTCCACCATAAAGATGACGAGGTATGCTGCAATAGCCATCCACAGCAACCAGGGTTTTAGATAATCTAATGTCAGGTTGTTTTTGTAAAGTGAAAATGCTTTCAAAACTTTGAGAGTGATTGCACTTGGCCAGTACACCATCAACACCAACAGAAACTTCGGTGAATTCCACATTTCCACATTGTGGTAGTAGGTGATGCCGACGATGGTTCCCACCGTCACAACGCACTGAGGGATGAATGTATGGTAGTTCACTGTATCAGGATCATTGGAGTCAGAAATCACTCCCTCGGCAATCTGTACGATGTTGATGATGAGGAGAGCGAGCGTTGCAATCCATCGAAGATTGTGCCCCTGGAAGTGCACCCATGTTTTCACTTTGATCTTTCCCATCACTGAATGGTTCCACACCGTGAGGATGAAGATGCAGATGAGAGCAAGAAGAGCATGTGGAATCATGTTCAAAACATCCACAAAACAGGTGTTCAGAAGAACACCGTTTTTGACGCTCATTGCATCTTCTTTGCTTCCACAGAACCCCATTGTTGAAGAGTGCTTTCACGTTTCTAACCTTACTTTCTGACCATAATTATGCTTTCAATTCCAGGGCCAACATCGTTTTCAATGTATATTACATTTTTATATATTTCTAAGTACTGCTATAATCACTTATTTGATTTCACAATACAAATTATTGCTGATAGTTTCATTGTTTGTCAATATATATTCCAAAATAACGTAATTTATAATCAATGTATCCTGTCAAAGATGATGTCAACAATTCACTGTTGCCACAAAACTTTTAATTAATTACTACCTATCAAATAACAAACTACAGAACAGGTAATTTTTTCTGTTTGAAGAAAAAATGTTGTTTTCCAGAATCATTATGAAATCACTGTCACGTTACTGGCTCTCAATATATTCCTCATCTCAGATATTAATCGTACAGTGCATCACTTGACATTTTCTCAGCCTCCTCATCTTTTTGTTCTGCAGCCCACGTTCCATCAGTCCACCTTGCAAGATATTCAATCAGCTACACATGCAACAACTCACTATCACTACAATCCAAACCGAATTTTCCAATAGTCAGCTTATAGTAAAATGCACACACTACACTGTAGTCTACACAGGTACCCTCTTTCAGTCCTTAACTGACAGCTCGCGACACACCTGGGCTGCTGCCCAACAACACACTGATTTATAGTCCAATACGCTTTCCGGTATGAGAAGAAAAGTAGTTCCCTGCCAATAACGTGTTTATGTTACACATTGTCTGTTTAAGAGTGATCTCTTAAAATAACAAGCTTTAAACGAAGAATATTGCTGTAATGTGAAATATACATGTAGATTAGAGAATATTTAGAAAACCACGGGAATTCTATATTAATACGCTATGTATATAAAGCTGGTATTTAGGAAAACTAAAACGGAAAACATATTTACGAATTGTAGTCAACAATACTGTTAATGTGCAATGTGTTAAATCACGGTTCTTGTCTCTCTTTAATAATTAAAAATATATATTCCATGCGAGACAAGAAAATCGAGATTAAAAAGAAGTAATATGTAAAACAATTCAATAAACATGTGTCAAAATAAGTTTGACGAAACACGCGATTATTTTCTCAATCAAAATGCAAATTCTGGTTTTCTTACATATATGGCTTTGGCTCAGAGGGTACTCTTTTCGCATGTGTACTAATTGATTATTGTGAGCCCGTTCATGTAAATCGGTGCTTTCTCGTCTGGAACATATCCATGTAATTAAGGGTGTAATTAGGCAAAAAATATTTATCTATTGGATTGGAAGCATATATCTCTCGTGCAATACAAAAAGGTAGCCCCGGGCTCCCTGTTCCTACTAGCATGAAAGTGTAGGGTTTATTGTCACATTCAACAATATCAAAGACGTATGTTCACAGTATAACAAGTAATATGTGACAGCAGAGGCCGTAAAATAGAATAAAATAAAACAAAAGTTACAGTCAATGTGTAAAATTACTGAAATTACTACTACGGCTAAAATATGTCAGTCATTTTAAAATTATTTCCCCGTCAGATTGACTTAAAGTCATTAAGAAGTCAAAAGGGCTTAAAGGGCAACAACACGTACTCCAACTCTTCGCCCGCGTAATCACCAGATGCAATTAGCGTCTGCGTCCCAACAAACTGGGCTTCGGACCGCTTCGTTGACATCGAGACGGAATCCCCTTAAATCCTCGCATTTGTTTGGATTATGCGAACTAACCTTGCAAAATTCGCCTGCGTTTTTAAATGTGTATGCACAATTATGTAGATTTGTATGCAACAAAAATACGTGTATGTATTATTTTTGCAACAATGAAGCTATAATTAAGTTCATATACAGCAACGACCCTTATTTTTAGGCAAATTGTATATAAATAAAAGTGACAAAACCCTTTCCACATTCATAAGCAAATAACAGAGTCGATTGTACGACTATATATGGTGAGCATGTGTTTATGAACCATATGAAACAGTGATGACATGAGGTGTTCGCGAAATACAACACTTATTACTCCCTTCTTGTCATCCATGTTTCATGTTAAAACCCTACACCTGTGTATGTGTCGTCTTTGTTACAGGTAGAATTTGTGGTAGAACCACAGCGATTACCGAACAAAGACTATATGCAAAATAACTCACTAACGTTTACCCATGCCTCTGATGGTGTCAATGATATATATATAGTGATCACGGTTCGCATTTTGCATTTCTCGTGTCTGGGGTACTTATTCAATCTAAGATTGGGTTATAAACCTAGTCTGATGTGGTGAATGTATTACATGTTATGTAATATGCTCGTGGCAGCGCAGCAAGAGAGGAATGGTCAATTGAATTGCTAAAAAAACATTGATCAAAGGACTTATAACCACCAATACGTTGATTGATTAATCACTGTTATTTTGCCCAGTGCATTTGTCAAAAGTAAGTGTTTATATATAGAAGAAAATTGTTTTATTTAAGTGTCACCCGGCGTTGTATACAATAATATTTCAATTTGGTAAAATACAGGCATATATATATACATTATATATATAAAGAATAACGTCAGCGGGCCTATAAAGGCCATTGAGATACATGTTTCACAATAAAAAACCACTTAAGTGCATTTGAAATACTAAGAGAATTAGAGTTACGAACCATGGGGTTTTATAAATTATGTAATGAGGGACTTACGACGGTTATACATTTTAGACAATGATACGGCTATTTTCTTACACAGGGAATCATTGGACATAAGGTAGAGCAACTGGTCAACTGTGGATAGCTGAGGGAAAGAAGGATTGAGAGTAGAAGCAAACTGAAAGAGGTCGTAAAGCAAATCAGCATACAGTTGACAAAACATACGAAAATGAAGTTCATCTTCGACAGAATTACAACTTACATATTCTCTCCCCAAGGGGGATAACTGGACGTGAAAACCTACCCAGTTCCACCTGCAGCGGGAGTGTTCCACAGCGGAGGTTACTGAGTATACTTCTCTCGCTTCTATCAAGAGGAGAATTGACATAAGTTGTAAACTATTTTTAAACAAACGATATGTTCGTAGTTTATTTCCAATAACGTTTCCTTTGTCATCCCATAATCGGGTAAACCAGTTAATATAATCAGCATAGATCAAACCCTGTTTTGAAAGATCAAATTCACATGGCGAAATGTCATAAATATTAGAAACAGGCATCTCCCAAGATGAAACGATATATATAATACATTATGTAGGTTTACTAAAGCAGACGGAATACACCTGTATCTGGGCTTGAAGTGCCGATGTAAAAACAGCATACTTTGTTCAAAGGATTAACCGATAATACGTTGATTGGTTACTTGTTGCATGTTATCTAATTCAGGGATGTTTTTAAAGAACCGCGAACATTATGCATATATATGTCACGTGTGCTATCTCTATACTGACGAATGAGACATATGGCACCCACGTGAAACACATGAAACAAACTTACGTTTTAATTAAATTTTTTTATCATAACAAAACGAAGAAAATGCTACGAGTATACAGCGTTGGACATGAGCGCCTGCCCGTACGCCCGTGGCAGGCAGATCTTGTGTAGGGCTCGTAGTTCAAGTTTGTATTGGTCCTCATGGCCAGCGGTAATTTTACGTGTCAATTTATTTGTCACAATAAGCAGTAATGTTTTTTATTTAAATCAGGGCATGTGGAGATTAGTCAGGTCCTGCAGCTTTTAAAGTCTGTGGGTCCTGATGGAAGCTGGGCGATGTGTTTTATTTCAAACACTGCGAGTATAGTTGTGTGGGTTTGGAAAAGGGATTTGGGAACAGCTACACATGTGCGTAATGACAGTGATGTTTTTGCAATAATACCCGGACAACTGCAGGCTAAGGTGATGTATGATTCCAGGAATCACACAAAGAAGCGAACGAGAAGTAGAAATGAAAACATCAAGATGCTATCTTGTCAACAATTGCACGCACGAATGCATGTACACGCACTCACTCACGTACGCAGGAATGCATGTACGCGCACTCACTCACATACGCAGGAATGCATGTACACGCACTCACTCACATACGCAGGAATGCATGTACACGCACTCACTCACATACGCAGGAATGCATGTACGCGCACTCACTCACATACGCAGGAATGCATGTACACGCACTCACTCACATACGCAGGAATGCATGTACACGCACTCACTCACATACGCAGGAATGCATGTACGCGCACTCACTCACATACGCAGGAATGCATGTACACGCACTCACTCACATACGCAGGAATGCATGTACGCGCACTCACTCACATACGCAGGAATGCATGTACACGCACTCACTCACGTACGCAGGAATGCATGTACGCGCACTCACTCACGTACGCAGGAATGCATGTACGCGCACTCACTCACATACGCAGGAATGCATGTACACGCACTCACTCACATACGCAGGAATGCATGTACACGCACTCACTCACATACGCAGGAATGCATGTACACGCACTCACTCACATACGCAGGAATGCATGTACACACGTTCTCACACACGCAACGTATATATATAATACATATATTTGAATCATCATGTAAGCTAAAGATACTTAAACGTGTTATGTAAATGCATCTTCGACTATCCAGGGTATTATCCATTCTATTACGATTAATACCCTGGACCCATTCGATACTTTAGCTAAACATGCGTTGCAAAAGAGTCTTCGATGTTCAAGGGTACCATCATTTCTATTTGGATAAATCTACCCTGCGCCCATAAATAAGCCACCATACATTCGTTTTGAGGCCGACTATGGGGCATGCAGGACCCAATCAAATTACTCTACGACTATAATACCCTAGATAATCGAAGATGCATCGCACGTATAACTATGGTGTGTTTGTTTGTTGTTTAACGCCGCACTCCAGCAATATTCCAGCTATAGCAATTGGGATACGATGACATGCGTCAACAAAGTCAGCGAGTCTGACCACCCGATCCCGTTAGTCGCCTCTTACGACAAGCAAGAACGGATTGCTGAAGACCAATTCTAACCCGGATCTTCTCGGGTGGATCCAGGGTATTTATCGTAATGGAGTCCACAGACTAAATACACTGGGTTGTCGAGGATGTTTTAAATGCGACGATATTGACTTAAGTCAGTTAAATAACCAACCTCAAATATGAAAGTGGTGCCCCTTTTCACATACTACACTTGTGAGCCACAGTGTTAGCTTTTTGGAACTGTATACGAAGAATCAATGTTTACGATATTCGTTTGAACTGAAGTATCTATAATCTAGACACTACCCGGTTTTGCCATACGCTCTTCACTGCTTCGTGTACCAATTATAGAAGTGTAGCGTCACGTCAGTCTAAGTAAATACACTGGAATGAAACAATACCATTATGGGATATCATTCTGTCAGATCATCCGATCTTAAATTATTTCCAATTCTTATCGAGGTTGTCTTGACCTGTGTCGCGTGAATGTATTGTTCTAGAGCAGGGAACATTAACCCTTGACCTGCATGGTGTACTTTAGTCTATTGTAGAGAGTTCTATGGATGTCAGTTACTGCACCCATCACTGACGATACAGATAAGGACGACAAATCACATCGGAAATGTTGGTATCACGTTCAATCACGGCGTGCAAGCTAAATCAGGGAGGGGTTTTAA